GTGTGTGTGTGTGTGTGTGTGTGTGTGTGTGTGTGTGTGTGTGTGTGTGTGTGTGTGTGTGTGTGTGTGTGTGTGTGTGTGTGTGTGTGTGTGTGTGTGTGTGTGTGTGTGTGTGTGTGTGTGTGTGTGTGTGTGTGTGTGTGTGTGTGTGTGTGTGTGTGTGTCTGTGTGTGTGTCTGTGTGTGTGTCTGTGTGTGTCTGTGTGTGTGTCTGCGTGTGTCTGCGTGTGTCTGCGTGTGTCTGCGTGTGTCTGCGTGTGTCTGTGTTTGTCTGTGTGTGTGTGTCTCTGTGTGTCTCTGTGTGTCTCTGTGTGTCTCTGTGTGTCTCTGTGTGTCTCTGTGTGTCTCTGTGTGTCTCTGTGTGTGTCTCTGTGTGTTTGTCTGTGTGTCTCTGTGTTTTTGTGTTTGTGTGTGTGTGTGTCTGTTTCTGTGTCTGTGTCTGTGTCTTTGTCTGTGTCTACCTTTGTGTTGTGTGTCTCTGAGTCAATGTCTCCGTTCAATGTGATTGCCTTCCGCGTCTCCCGATTTGAATCAACCCTGTTTGAAGCACCAGCGAATCGTATAGCTGGCGATGCCCGGGCAGAAGCAAACAACTGCCGGAGTGCAGGTCACATCATGCAGCCGTCTTGTTGCAACCCCTGTCTAAAGCCAGTATCAAGTTGTTGCCGCCTTCGCTAAAGAACACTACATTCAAAAGCCTTCCGACGCAGCGATGCAGCGCTAAGTAGCAGATAGCGAACCCGCAGAGCAGTCTGGCTAGCCAGCTAGCTTTTGCTGCTTAGCTTGTTGGTTAGCTGGCCAGTTCAATAGTTAGATAGCAGGCATACCCAACCCTACCATGGTCTAGATGGACGAGAAGCAAGTGAACTGAGAACAGCTGCAAGCTCGGCCCACTTGACCCTTTGAAGCTGACAATCACGCCCTCCCGACCCCAGCATTTCGAAGCTTTCTGAAACGCTTCCCAAGCAGCCTTCGGCTTGGCAGAAACAAAACTAAAGGCAAGCTTGACTTGTGATGTCTTCCAGATACTAGAAGAAAGAACCACACCTCTTCTTGAGGGGCCAGGTGGATCCCTAGATCTCCTTGTTGAGGTCCCATTTTCCTATCCAGTCGCCCAGGCGCCTTCCGGAAGGTGTACGGCGGTCAGCAGAGGCGCGGCACTTGCACCAACAAGTTCGCCCGGGGCCCCATCTGACAGATTGGTTTGCCAGCATCAACGTCTCCTTAAGCAGAACATGAACGTGCCGTATTGAAGCATTAAATCCCTAACGTTGCATGGCGGGATATTGGCAGTTTGTCATGAGGTCGAAGAAATTCCTCCTGGGATTGGAGCTCGGCGGTAGTACTAGGTTCCTGAGAGGCGTGGATCTTTCAAATGCGCACTTGAGGGGTCTTCCCCTGCAGTCTATCCAAGCAGAAGGTGTTTCTTTTCTTGAGGCTTGGACTCTCAAGGGGCACGCATTCAGGTATGAGGTTGTTATGTGGTGTTGTTCTTCTTGGGAGAAGAACATGAGCAAAAACAGAGACAAGGACAAGACCTGTGCACATTCAGGGTACGTGCCCTGTGTATGTATATAAGTAACTTGCCTGGCACCAGTTCATTATGTATATATATATATACATACATTATATGTAATATAATTTATGCGCGGCTGTCTACATTGTATGTAATCTATTTATACAGAGCTGCCCATTTCCTCACATTTATGCTTGCGGACCCAACCTGACTCAACTCCCAAGATGGCACCTGAGGAAAGCCTTTGGGATGACAAGTTTCTTTGAAGAGGACCTGGCAGGTTAGATGTTGCAGAGATGATATCCGTATTTATCGAGTAAATTTCAGACCTACCTGACCCAAGACCCCCCTGCTCAGTGAGGAGGACCCCCCCCCAGACCCCGGCTGGGACCCGTTAGATGTTCCAATGCTATAGTTTACAAGCCCGCTGCCCGCACCGCTCCTTGCTGCGAACAGCACTAAGACCAAATCCTCGGGCAAGATTGCGCGGTACATCCTTCAGCAGTTGGAGGCTGCGGCTTGCGGGAGAGGATTTGAATGGAAGAGTCCAAGTGGCCGCCCTGATTGAAAGCAAGGGGAGGGGCTGGTGAGTTCTCGCAATTGTCCAAGAACTTTGTGCAGGCTAGCAGCGTCGTGGTTTGAAGGTACAAAGTGATGGATGGTACGCCCACAGAAGCAGAAGGACGAAGCACGCCCCATGCTAGAGCTGCCGTTGCGAAGTAATTACAAGATTTCAGATAGCGTGTTGATGGAGTGCTGCTTAGGTGTTTTTTTTGGATGTTTAAGTTGCTTTCCGAAGTAGGGTTTTACTCCCGACGAAGAACAGTCACCCTTAGGCGCATTGAGCTGGTGCGTCCATGTGTTTGTTTGATTTGATGGTTTTTGGTGACTCTAGTGTTCGCAGTCCTTTCGCGGTCCTTTGGTCCTGTGGTGGTCGCAGGTCCCTCAGAGCTATGAGGTACTTGTCAAAATGAGTTGGATCCTGCGTTGCTTGCCTTGCAGTCGGTTCTTTTGTTGAACCTTGCTCTCGCGAAAAGTGGCCGAACTAGATTTGGCAACAGATCCATTTGGGTGTTTCCTAAATCAGGGGACCCCACCAAAACCGGGCTGTGTCCACCAGCTTGAGACATGCCCCATTGCTTAAGGACATACTTGCCAAGAGCTGCTGCCCAGAGGCGTTTTTTGGATCAGAACACGTCAGGAAATGGGCCTGGTTGAGGTCGACGAGGAGGGCGGCCGAATGATCACCAAGGACTCTTCAGTTGTGCGTGCCACGGGCGAGGTTTCTTCTTGTCGAGTTGTGATGCCCACGGCAAAGCCTGCAGGTGCATGATCCTGTGAATAAGCACCACTGGAGGATCCAAGAAGACCTGAGGTTTTCCTGTGGCCATGCCTTTCCAAGTGTGCTGGTTAAATGGCACCTCTCGTAGAATGAACCTGCGAACAGTACCAGTTGAAATTGAAACGAAATAAGAAGTTCCTAGATTCGATGAGCTCGAGGAAGTTATAAGTTCTCATTACCTTCCTGCAGTTCGAGTTGCATTTCTATGTGTATTGGAGTTGAACTGGTACCTTTCACGTGCTGGACAAAGCGTTTGCTTTGATTTCTGTTTTGGAAGAGCTGGGCCCCTGGATTCCTCCAGCCTTTTGATAGGGATAGCCATTGTGCGATTGAACCGTGCCACATCTGATTTGTGTGTCTGTGCTTGTGTGATAGTGAAATTATGTGTCTGCCCTGACAAGTTGTGCCAAGATGTTCTCAAATCTAAAGCTTATTTGTGCCAAATATGTTGCCTTCCTGAGCTTCAATGTTTAAGAAGGTGCGGATGTGCTATTCTTGTCCGAGAATTCTCTGAGTCTCTGCGAGATGCCGAGCCGCGAGTATGTCTGGATATTACCGCCCAGAGGACACGGGACTTTATAGAAAAGACACACCCGCCACGGTAAGGTGGATTTTAAATAACAAATGGGGTATAGTCACCTCAAGATGGGTGTACACCATAGCACCGACATGGCAAGGAGGGCCAGCGCGAGCTGGACACCGTGGCCGTGCAGGCGGCGGCGGACGAGGCAGGAGGGCTAGGACGGAGCTGGGGGTGACGCTTGGGTTTGATGGGTTGGGTACATAACCGTTGTTTTTCCTGACTTGAGGCTTGAAGGGTTCTTTCTTCACATGGGCCCTAGATGGGCGGCCATCTTTGAGAGGTTTTGAGGCATGTGCGACCCTGGCCTCGCTTCCAAGTTTGCAGCTCTTTGTCTCCATCGCTCTTGATCTCAGCATGGGTTTGAGCACCCAGTGACCCCATCCATGTGAAGCATGGCCGTTTCGGCAAAGAGCGCGATGGGCAAGGCGGTGGCCCTCCAAGGGCCTCCCAGCCCAAGCAATGATTGATCTGCAGCTTCTCATGCTTCCCAGTGTGTTCGGGTTGTCAATTGAGAGAAGGGAATGACTCGGTATGACACGTATGGCGTGGTCGAAGGATCCTGCAATAGAGCGCGTCCAAACAACATGTGCCTTCCTGTGAATCACGATGTTAACTGGCCGGACTTCCATCCTGATGTTGCAACAAGGCCTGATTCCGGCACAGATTGGCAAGGCCTCGTGGAGCGGCAACACTTTGCAGACTGGAGCCAGTCATTATACAGACAAGCAACAACAGTAAGTGCAACAAAGCGCACACACCTCGATACATTCGAATTTCTTCTTTCAGCAATGCTTACTGCTTGCCTTTGCAGGAAGAGGACGAGTGAGCAGTTGCTTCAGATCGAGCGTGGGAAGGAAAGGAAAACGGATTGGCCGGCCACGAGTTTTTTTTGTTTCAAGCATCTTTCTTGCATGTTGCGGGAGATGTTCAAACAGTACTGCTGCTGAACCCTGCAAAAGCATGTTGCTGCTTTGCGGGACTTTCTGCTCAGCTGCTCGGTCCATTTTTGCGTAAACAATACATTTTGCCCCTTAGAGGCAAACTGTAGTGACCTCCCAAGGGAGTTGCGACCTCACCCAAAGGCCACTCGCCTGAGCGAGCCGGGCCTCATGGCTGCGCTAGTGGCTCCACATCACTGTGCAGCGTCTACTAAGCCGCCGTCCTCCCAATGGCCCCATGTGCTGTTTCGTCCCATTCCTCTCGGGCTTTTTGTTGTTTGGGGAGGTGTGCCATGTTTGGACGGATGCCATGGCCGGTGCCTCGTTTGTCATGATCCTGTGGCAGGCTGCATAGTGCTGAGCTCTTTGTCGCAGAGTCATCGGGCTCCTTCCTGCCCAAAGTGTGCTCGGCGAGGAGTACAGGTTTTCCTTTCTCAGTGAGCAGGAGGGCCACCCACAGGTCGTGGCTGCCGTTTTGTCTTCGGCTGCTACACGCGTGGCCTGCTTGAGCGTGCGTACACATTTACTTATATGTTTGTGTGTGTGTGTTTGTGTGGGCGGCTGACACGCAGCCTGGCCCTAATGTGCATCTTGTTGCCAAGTGTCGTCCGGAGTCCAGAGAGCTCCGGGGCCCTTTGCCCCCCCCGTGCGTGTTGGGGGCGCCGGAGGCGGTCAGCGTGCCCGTGGACACGTCGCCGACAGTGGCGTAGTTGCCAGCGTTGGCGGTGTTGTTGATTGTCAGGGTGCTCCCGGAGATGCCTGTCGCCGAGCTCAGCACGCCCACGCTGGCCACGCCTCCGATGCTCAGCAAGCCGCCCGCGACGGCTAAGAGGCACGCCCGTCGTGAAGATGTCGGTGCAGTTCACGTCGTTGCGCAGCAGCTGGTCGCAGCCCACGTTGCCCTGCGCCGTGAGCCCGTCCAGCGTGGCCCGGCGATGGCCCGGGGATGGCTTTTTGGTCAAGGTCGGAAGCTTGGAGCAAGGTCGGAATTCCGACCTCGGGTGGAAGAATTCCGACCTCGGGTGGAGAGCGACCCGTCAGGTCGGCCAGCAGGTCCGCGACGGAGACCAACTCGCCTCGAGGGCCGTGTGGGGCTTCCTGCGCATTCTGCAGGGTCGTTTGGTTGGCTGCGCGCGCCTTGGTCTCTTCTGATGGCCCGCGGCCGCTGGGCGTGGGTGTGGCTGAGGTTGCTCTTAGCATGTGGGAGGGCTCACTTTGCATGATTTTTGCGATCCCTTCTCACCCTGCCTGCCGTCTCTCCATTGCTCTGACCTTGCTTGACCTTGTGGTCTTCTGGGTGAGGCGCACCAACCTCGGACCCATCTGCGTTGCTGTGGGTGCACCTGACCGGCTGAGAGCGGCGGGCAGGAATTGGCCACGCATTGCAGAAGCAGACTGAAGGTGTAGGCTGAGACGGCCGGGGGATACTCAGCTGGGCTTGCGGCTAGAACATGGACGCGAAGGGCCGGGGCCTCCCCTACTCAGCCGACACCTGACAGGCAAGCGAAGAGCTCGAACATAAGAACTCAAACCCCTGCGACAGGTGAGCCTCTTGCGGTGCGATTTCAATTCTTGACGAAAGCCGCCAGGACGCGCCGCCGAAAGAGACTGGACGTTCGCTTTGTAAAGGGGAGGACGCCGCGCTCCAACACCCGTGTGGACCTCGTTTTTCGAGACTCGAATCGTGGGGCGCCGGCGTGATGAAGGCTCAGGGAGCCTCAATTTGGGGTTGGCAGATAACTGCTAATCACCAGCTACATATTCTGCCGGAGACCCACGAGACTGCAACAAAGGGACATGTACCTCATGTCGAGAACTTGTTGACACACTGAACACATGTTTGAGTTGATGCGGGGAGGACATGGGAAACTGGGAAACCAAATGATTGATTTATTATGTATAGCCATGAAAAGATGAGTTGACCCAGTTGATCTACTTGGAAGTACTATTGTTGTCACTTGCTCATGTTGGGTCCATCCTGCAATCTCTGGAAACATGCCAAAGCTCGCAGCGGCTGTCGTTCTGGTTTGGCATTGTTGGGTTTTGTTAGCAGCTCACGACGCCGGTGTGCCTTAAGCATATCATTCTTCCCAAGACTTGGCGTAGACGAACACTTTTTGGAGGGAAGACTGTTGCCAGAATTAGATATTGTTGGGCGATGCCTAGCCCTATGAAAGAAAACCTGTTGAGATCCATAAATTCCATGTGCAACATCAATATATCCAAAGAGCACCAGTCGAGTTCCATTCAAAGGGGCCGCACAGAACGAGACGGAAGACTACACTAGTTGATCGGCCAAACTTGTAGTGAGAAACTGAATAGCCTTGGGCCATTGCCATGCTCCGTTGTTGGGTGGCACTTCCTTTTTCTTTTATTTTCGGGGAGGTTCCAACGATTACCAGAAGGACAAAAGGACAAAGGCGTTGTTTCTTTCCTCATGCCCACCGGTCCGTTGCGTCAGTTGCACCATCCGCAGGCGCCTTGACTCCTTGACTGCTTGTCGTTGACTGTCCTCACGCCCCGCATTTCCGGCCTCAGCCTGAAGCAAAACTCAAGCAGGACTGAACTTGCGGCGTGGCAGAGAAAGAAGGAGTCCCCCGCCACGCCGCCATGGAACCGACAAACATAGGCAAACAGGCGCAACACCTACGTAGAGATGCATGATTCCGGCAAGCCAAGATTGGGGGTCGCACAACGCCTGGTTAGCAGTATGTTTAGCAAAGGGGCACAAACCGCAAAACACTCAAGGAACTAGCTAAGGCTCTCAGAAGCCTCGAGGTTTTCTGCTAAAAACCATTCGGGGCAGCATTTTAGTGGCCCCAAGCAAAGCCAAACTCTGAAGCACTGATTGAACAGCTTGGTGTCTTTCTTGTCACTCAAGCAACTTGGTGGATGACATGATCTAGCACTATGCGTGTCATCACACTTTTCTATCCATGGTAATAACAACATTTCCATGACGCACGCCACTGCCTCCAAACGGATTCGCCGGAACCACCCAAGCGCCAACCGACGTCGACTACGGCAAGCCACCGGGTCATCCCATGGGCTCATGGCAGGCTTGCCGGGGGAGGGGGGCTGGCTGCTGTTGGTTGGTCATCTGCATCCTTGAAAAAGTGAAGTCCGGTTGGCAAAGGTTTGGTTGGCTTGTGGGAAAATCATTTGTCGTATATGTCAGGCAATGAGAGTTTCGCAGGGTTTCTAGCTGTGATTGGATTGCGGGATTGCTACGTTGACAGCTGGAGCAGTTATTGGCCTAGCAAAGATTGATTTGTGGTAATTTGCAGCTTGCTTGGCGGTGGCTCGGGAAGGCATGAGGGGACTGTGCACACACAAACAAGTTCTATAACAATGATTCTGGTACGTATAGCCCATCAGTACGCTTGCCGTCCAAGCTCTGTCTAGCACAAGGTCCGCATTTCCAGATGGGTCGTGCAAGTCAGGTTGTCTCCATACAAAGTCTGCACGGCAACATATTTTTGAACATGCTTCAACAAGCATTGCAGCTGATGCGTGACCTGACAAGGCACCGCACACCCTCCCTCGTGGTTGTGGGGAAAGCTCGCGCGGGCACACCATGGCACACCCATCAGTCTCTCACAGACTTGTTTGCAGTCTCCACCGTGTTCTGGATTTCCTCCGCTTCCCCCCTGAGACTTGAACCATGCTTATGTTGGTGTCAACATATTTGATAGTTCCAGGGCCTGCTTTTATGCCCCAAATGGGTAGCCCCCTTTGCAAACTGGTGGTTGCAAGTGGGCAAGGGGGCCACTCAGGGTACGTCAAAACTATCCTCGTACTTCACACAAAGGTGGGGTATGTGCATTTTGGGATGTAGATAAGAAATTGTTTGAATAGCCCAGTCATGCCGATGTTGAGACCACTGGAAGAGCTTTGTGTTTGGTTGCACATATGGCGCTTCGTCAAAACTAGGGACAGAGCGTGAACGCGGCGGATCGATCTTTCAGGCCTACCCACCAACCCAGCCTCTCTGCTCAGGCTGGGGTGAATTGCGAGGGGGGAGGTGAGAACCAAATGGGCAGTGTGTCGTTCGCTTGTTGAGAGCGACGCTGCCTTTTGCGTTGCGGCAGAGAGTGGCAAACCCAAAAGAGCTGTCCGTTCTGCCGCTCGGCGGACATTGTCGCACAGGCGCCATGCACAGCTTGAGAATCAACATCATAGAGTAAGTTGTCAGTAATGTTATGTTTGCCCGAAAAAATTGGATGTTTCTGGTAGCCAGTACAATTACTGGCACCTCTGTGTCACATGGAATCCAGAAGGTGCTTCCCCACAACAACAACTTTGGAATTTATGAATCCGCTTTCCCTTGGCTCCATCGTTTCCAGGTTGCTCCACTTGGCAGGTTCTTTTTGGAAGCAGGGTGCGGAATGGGTTGGAACACCTGAATATTACCTATTTGTGAGGCTTTCTGCAGAGGAGCTTTCAGCCCGGGGCTGAGAATGGATAATCGTGAGCACACAGGCAATCAAGATCCTTCCAACTTGGATTTGCTCCAATAGAATCGCGACCCGCCAGGCTGCATGGCCCAGAGAGACCCGTGAAAAAGGTATTAGCGAAGTTCCGCCTTCGAAAGTCGTGCTTGCCATAAGTGCGAAAATGACCACATGAAGATCCGAGTGTACAGGATTCGCTATTTTACGTTTCTTGTTATTCGAAGCAATAGGAGACCACCGCCGTTCCGAAGCCCTCCGTGCCAACGCCTTGCTTACAGAAATGCGCTGGCGTAAATAGGCAAATGGCAGGCACCCGAAAGGTTCGGTCGCAAGCGGCACCAGGCCGCCACCCAGCCAGGCGCATGTTGGACCTGTTGGACGGTCGACGGAGTATGTGACTGGCGAAGCTGCGGGTGGAAGTAGCCGAAGAAACTGTAAGAGCAAATTGAACTTATAGGGTTCTGCTCATGTCAACGTGGGTGTTTCGGTCCACATTTTGAAGGGGAAACGAAAGGAAAGGCATGTTAGGATCCATGCAAACGGTGTGCTTCATGTGGGAACCAATGTCGGTCAAGTATCATTTATGGCAATTTATGGCTAAGTTTTACATTTCCAGGGAGACTTTGACAATGGTGTTTCCAGGCAATTGAGGAGCAACACAAAGTATATTTGTTGTCATCGAATGATGTTAGGTTGTATTGTCTCATAGGCACGGTCGTCAACTCCTTGGCCACGTTGCTCATGTTTTGCGACCAAAGGCTGATTGGCCACTTCCCTTCACTTTGGGATGCTCAAGTCAGTTAAGACTCTGCGAACAGTCGGGGCATTGTTTGCTTTCCGAGTGCTTGAGAGATGACCGGGTTTTTGACTCCGGATGCCAATTTTAAGCCATGTGCTACGACAAAATGGCTTAGAGTATGTATGCCAGGGGTGCCCTCGGGTTCCCAATTCGGGGGGTCAAACCGGAACCTTTGGGTTGACAGCGCTCAGGGGCCAGCCTCGTTGCTGACCCGACCTCCGCCACCACCAGGCAGCTGCCAGTGCTTGAGTTCGAGTTGACACCCTGCTGGGTAGTGTACAGTGACCTCACAAAGGAGGTTAGCCACCTCGCCCTTACTTGGGGAGCGCATTGTTTCAGGTGTTGAATTGTTGTAGTTGCCCAGACTGTGCTTCTGCAGCATTTGACCTTTGTGAAATGCAGATGCATATTTTGCTTGAGCTTGCTTTCTCTGGATCGCACGAGCTCAGGTAAAACTTAAGTACCGCCCGGCTTAGAGGAACCTCCGTGGGTCGGACTTGCTTGGGATGCGCAGGTGCACGGGCCGGAGGCTGAGCTCTGGGACTCTGAGACCGGAAGGAATGCCTGCCAGATCAGCTCAAGCAGTTTTTTTGGTGTAGACGAGCCACTCATACATGCACATATATATATATTTATATTTATATTTATATTTATATGTAAATGTATGCGCGAAATACACGTAACACTGCTCTGTGCGCTTGAGATACCGGTTTGTTTTAGAACATGGCTTTAGCTGGACATGGTGCCGGGTGGACACTTGATTCATGTTTGTTGCCAGCCTCAGCAACTGGCTGGAGTATAGTTGCAACAAACTAAGCAGGGCGGTCTTGCATTGTTGACCGTGTCTTCCTGACGTGGTGGTCTGGTGGAAATGAATAGCTCGACCCAAATTGAAGTGATTCCCACATGAAACAGGGTTCTACGATGGTAAAAGATGTTTGGCATCAGGGAACCAGAGCACCGTAAGACAGAACACGTACGCCATGCGCCCAGTTATTTCTCTCTCGGTCTCATTCCTTGTATTCTCCATCTCTCTCTCTCTCTCTCTTCTCAGTTGTTCTGTGTGCCTCTCTCTCTTTCTCTCTCTTCCTTCAGTTTGCTCTTTCTTGCTCTGCCTCTTTTTTTGTTTTGTTTTTTCACGCTCTCTCTCTCTCTCTCTCTTTCTCTATGTTTTACTCTCCCTCTCGCTCTGTTTCTCTGTTTCCCTCTCTCCATGTGTCTCTTTTTTCTCGCTCTTTCTTTCCCGCAAATCCCTTGCACTTTCTCACACTCTCTGCCTATCCCTCTCTCTCACTCTATTTCTCTGTCTCTTTCGACCTCTCTTTCTCTGTTGTTTTTGTTTTTCTCTCTCTATCTCTCTCCTGCTTTCTGTGTCCACCATGTCCACCTCAGCATCTGTTTGTTGTTTGGTCTCGCTCTCTCTCTCTCTCTCTCTATTTATCTATCTATTTCTTCTTTATTTCTCTATTTATTTCTGCTTTTCCATTTTTCTGTCTGTCAGTCTTTCCGTCTTTCTCTCGTTGTTTCTTTATTTAGTTTCCCTATTTATTGTGTTTGTTTCTCAATTTTTTGTTTTGATATAATATATATATATATATTGTTTTGCTTATTTTTGTTTATTTCTTTCTTTCTTTCTTTTTTCTTTATTTATGCATATAGACATTTCTATATTACCTTGTGCCTGTCTTCCTGTCTGTTTATCTGTGTGCCGTTCTGTTTTTTGTCTTTGCTATGTCATTATTTATTTTCTTTCTTTCTTTCTTTCTTTCTTTCTTTCTTTCTTTCTTTCTTTCTTTCTTTCATTCCTCTCTTTACTTCCTCTCTTTACTTCCTCTCTTTACTTCCTCTCTTTGCTTCCTCTCTTTCTTCTCTCTTCTCTCGCTCTCTCACTCGCATGCTCTCTTACTCTCTTACTCTCTTGGTCTCTCTTTCTTTTGCTCTTTCTACATATATATAAAAATATATTTGCTCCCCCCCCCCCCCAGTACCCAGGTTTGGGATTGGTTCAGAGTTGCTTTGACCGCGGAAGCAGGCAGGAAGAACAGCTCAGATTTGCACACTGGGAGACCAGAGGAAGGAGGTTTGCCTCATTGAAGAAAGACGCCTTGGACGTGACCCATGCCCTTTTTCAATGGCTCTTCCACACAAAATTCAATTCACATATCTTCCCACACAAACCATGCCTTGTTTCAAAGACTCTTCCACAGAAAATTCACACATCCTCTCACCCAACACATGTCTTTTTACATGTCTTCTTTCAATGAAACAAAGGCAGCATATGTGAAAGAGCTGCCAAGGAAAGTGAACCCTGTGTAGAAGAAAGCCAGGCTATGGCTGGGACAGTTTGTGTTTCATAAATGGTGGTTTTACATGATGTTTACTGTCTTTTGCTGTACTTTTGTGAATCACTGTAACCCTGACTCTTCCACCAAGACTCACATATCATCTCACACAAAACATGTCGTTTTCAATAACTCTCTACAGAAAATTCACATATCCTCTCCCCCAGAACATGTCTTCTTTCACAAATGTTCACATATCCTCTCACCAAAACATGCCATTTTTCAAAGGCTCTTCCACAGAAAGCTCACATCTTCCCACACAAAGCATGCCTTCTTTCAAAGACTCTTCCACAGAAAATTCACACATCCTCTCACCCAACACATGTCTTTTTACATGTCTTCTTTCAATGAAACAAAGTCAGCATATGTGAAAGAGTTGCCAAGGAAAGGGAACCCTGTGTAGACTAAAACCAGGCTATGGCTGGGACAGTTTGTGTTACATAAATGGTGGTTTTGCATGATATTTACTGTCTTTTGCTTTACTTTTATGAATCACTGTAACCCTGACTCTTCCACAAAGACTCACATATCATCTCTCACACAAAACATGTCTTTTCAATAACACCTTTCTACAGAAAATGCACATATCCTCTCTCCCAGAACATGTCTTCTTCTTCACAAAGGTTCACATATCCTCTCACCAAAACATGCCTTTTTTCAAAGGCTCTTCCACATATAACTCACATATCTTCCCACACAAACCATGCCTTGTTTCAAAGACTCTTCCACAGAAAATTCACACATCGTCTCACCCAACACATGTCTTTTTTACATGTCTTCTTTCAATGAAACAAAGGCAGCACATGTGAAAGATTTGCCAGGGAAAGGGAACCCTGTGTAGACTAAGGCCAGGCTATGGCTGGGACAGTTTGTGTTACATAAATGGTGGTTTTACATGATATTTACTGTCTTTTGCTGTACTTTTATGAATCACTGTAACCCTGACTCTTCCACAAAGACTCACATATCATCTCACACAAAACATGTCTTTTTGAATAACTCTTGTCTACAGAAAATTCACATATCCTCTCACCCAGAACATGCCTTCTTTCACAAAGGTTCACATATCCTCTCATCATGCTCCGCAAATGTTGCGCAACATTTGGAATTTGTTGCGCAACATTTCCCTGGACCAAAAAACCAAAAACCAAAAAACACAAAGAATCCCAGCCGTGGTGGGGGCTAGGATTGTTTGTTTTTTGGTTTTTTGTTTTTTTCCCGAAAGCATGGCGAAGGGTTCTTCCGCTGGGTTCACTTGAGCTGTTCTCATGAGAGTCATTACAAGGTGTCATTGCAAGGAATCATCATCATGAAAGTCATTGCAAGGAGTCATTGCAAGGAGTCATTGCAAGGAGTCATTGCAAGGAGTCATTGCAAGGAGTCATTGCAAGGAGTCATTGCAAGGAGTCATTGCAAGGAGTCATTGCAAGGAGTCATTGCAAGGAGTCATTGTCATTGCAAGGAGTCATTGCAAGGAGTCATTGCAAGTCATTGCAAGGAGTCACATTGCAGGCATGGCAAGGATTGCAACTTGCACTTGACTCCTTGCTTTGGCTTGCACTTGCACTTTGGCACTTGGCTCCTTGCCTTGCTCAACTTGACTTGACTTGCACACTTGCAACTCTCACTTCACTGCTCTCATGACTCCTTGCAATGACTCCTTGCAATGACTCCTTGCAATGACTCCTCCTTGCAAGACTGACTCCTTGAAACAAGCAAGTGTGTGCAAGTGCAAGTGCAAGGAGTCAAGTGCAATTGACTTGCGAGGAGTTAAAATCTTCTCTTAGGGCGGCGGGGTAGTGCCGACGACACTACACGAAAATCGACCCTCTGCGGGGATCGGCGTGGTCGAGGTGCAAAAACCCAAGGTTTTTTGCGATTTCTAAAGTTCCCGCGCGACCCTCTGCGGGGATCGCGCAACCCTCTGCGGGGATCGGCGTGGTCGAGGTGCAAAAACTCGAGGTTTTTTGCGATTTCTGCCCTGCTCGCGCAACCCTCTGCGGGGATCGGCGTGGTCGAGGTGCAAAAACTCGAGGTTTTTTGCGATTTCTGCCCTGCTCGCGCAACGCTCTGCGGGGATCGGCGTGGTCGAGGTGCAAAAACTCGAGGTTTTTTGCGATTTCTGCCCTGCTCGCGCAACCCTCTGCGGGGATCGGCGTGGTCGAGGTGCAAAAACTCGAGGTTTTTTGCGATTTCTACGGTGCTCGCGCAACCCTCTGCGGGAATCGGCGTGGTCGAGGTGCAAAAACTCGAGGTTTTTGCGACTTTTGTTGTTCGAACTGGTCCTCGGGAGTTGTCTCGTGGTTCGCGCGCCTGCTCCCGGAACCGGCGGGTCGCGGGTTCGATTCCTCCCTGGTCCGCGGGCGGGCGTCGCAAGATGCAACTTGCATTTTAATGCAACTTGCGCAGAGCAACTTGCGCAGAGCAAGTTGCACAGAGCAACTTGCGCAGACCAACTTGCACCGACCAGTTTGCGCAGAGCGCCTTGCCTAGAGCAACTTGCGCAGAGCAACTTACGCAGAGCAACTTGCACAGAGCAACTTGCACAGAGCAGCTTGCACAGAGCAACTTGCAGGGAGCAGGCAGGGGCCACTTGCCTTGCCGGAGCAACTTGCGCGGAGCAACTTGCGCAGAGCAACTTGCACAGTGCAACTTGCGTAGAGCAACTTGCGCAGACCAACTTGCACCGACCAGTTTGCGCAGAGCACCTTGCCTGGTGCTGTCTCGCGCTTGCTTCACGAATGCTTCGTGTAGGGAAAAAGAACGCATCCTGCAGCATTGGGCCGACCTCGCTTGCGATGTTCTGCTTTCGGGCCAACCGTGGTCTAGTTTGTTTTTGTTTTTTGGTCCACAAAATTGCCTTGCAGAACATGCATGGTTTCAATCAAAATACACTGTAAATATCAATGGTTTTTATACATGATGCAACAACACCTGGCTATTGGGGGGGGTACTATATATATATATATATGTGTTAATATTCACATATTTACCCGCACATTTATACAGATTCATAGCATACATACACACACAGTTCTTTATCCCAGCCACTCGTGAATGCTATTGTTTCCTTCAATGTCAATAGGTTTCGCATTTCAAGGCTGGGCCAGCTTCGCTGCTGACGCAACCTCCGCCAGCGCCAGGCAGCTGCAGTTTATTGGTCCGTGAACTGCGGACGAATTTGCAGGACTTTAGCATGATGCTCCGAGTCCTTCAACCGTGTTTTGTTTTGCCTTTGCGATAACTGGCCTCCCCGGGGCACATTGTCTTGAAGCCGCAGGCGCCAGATTTCATAATTTGGCATCGTTGAGCTGTGGCTCGAAACTAGGGCAACACCGAAGTAGATCGTTTGGGAAGCCAGCGTTTGGAGTCGCCTCTTTAGGACCCCATCAGTGCTTTGGCTTGAGAGAGTGGCTCCAGGTGCGGCACCGGCCGGAGGCTCAGACAGAGGTGACGCTTCGATGTCGGCGTACGTCCAGAACTCGGAGGCGTTCAGAGTTGGTGCGGTTCAACGCTTGGGGCCGGTGATCAAACTCCTTGTTGGAATCTCGGATCCGGCTTGATTATGTTCATGGCCTTCTCGATAATTGTCAGGCTTCCGCTCAAGAGCGGGTCCGAAGCGTCTTGACTTGCTCAATCAGTTATCTCCAGAGGAGCAGCGAAACCAAGTGGCAAAGGGAATTTCTGGAGATTAGCTGTGCTCTTTGACTCGTTGCGAATATGATCCATTGGCGTGCCGCTCTATTCCAGGCTGGACCAGCTGCATTGCTAACCCGCCCGGCGCCACCTCCAGGCGACTGCGATTGCTGGAATTTTGGGTTGGCAGACTTGCTTGCGTACCTTACACATGGGTGTTTTGTTTTTGGAGGAGACTCTTTCTGGGGTAGAGGGAAGCAAAGTAAAAACATATTTTAGTGTATGTTTCTAGGGAAGGGGGAGCAGTCCTGCATTTAGAGACCAGCTGGATTGAGTGAAACATGTGGTCAGGTGTAGGTGCTTCGGCCGGAGGCTGAGCGTGCACCTCCCCACTCTGCAATATTGGGTATGTGCGCAGCACCTGTCAGAAACCAACGCCAACAAAGCAAGAGCAGAACAACCCACTGTCGTCCTTTTTTCGGGATGCAAAAGATTCGTGGACTCACCTTGCAATGGTTTCCAGACAAACCCCGGAAACAAAAAGAACCATCTGGGCGAAGTAAAGCGACCCCAACAGAATGGAGCCATTGGCCCAAACCTGCCAGAGGAGCAGCTGCGTCAGCTGAGGGTCAGGTTGGCTCATGGCCTTGTGGGATCTGGCTCGGGCCAGGTCCATAGCGGTGGGAAGTTGATTTTGGCACACGTCCTCCTTTGTTTGTTTGTGGAGATTGGACTCTTGGCCGTCGACAAGGTGGGGGACAACGCGGCCAAAGCATCGGGTGCAGTTGTGGAGCTTGAGCAGGGCTTGGTGCTGGCGGTGATGAGGCTTCCTGCCAATTGTGTTGCTTTCCTCTGCAACATGCTTCATGTGGGCATGGGTGACGGGACTTCATGTGGGCTGTAGCTGAGGCAGTTCAAGGTGGCATCAACACCTGCTGAGACTGCTCGACACGCAGCTACAGAGGTCGGTGCTGGCTACAACGCCTGGTACGTGAAGGCCGTGACAGGGTGTAGCTGGGGCGACAAATCGGGCTGTAGGGCATTGCAATGGAGTTGGAGGTCCTGGCCTGAACACAGAGTCTTTCGTCAGCAGTCTCCCGACATGAGCGGCGGGCACTAAAATGGCCAAGGTGCCAGTAGACTCAGGTGCAGCGCTGGCACGGGGAGTCGGTGACAGGGAGCGCCGGACTTGGTGCAAACCTGCGAGTAAAGTGGATGCGTGGGGTACGCGCGTAGATTGCAAAGTGACGGTGAGGAAGGTGACATCTGCAGTCGAGGCGGCAGTTTGGCATCAGAGAGGCTGAAACACAAGGCTGATGGTGTTGCGTGGCTGTGGGCGTGCATGTGCGTGTGCATCAACCAATCCTACAAGAAGCCTCCGCAGCAAGGGCGCGAGGGATGGTGAGCTGATTTGCCTGAAAGGAAATGTGGAAGCCAGTTCAGCGGCCTAGATTTGGGCCGCGCAAAATCCCGGTGGGGTTTGGGAAGATCCCTATGACCCAAAGAGGAGTCTAACCGCTCCGCGCGTTTCATTCTCTTTTGGTAGCGTCCTAGGGTTGAGTTGCCGGGGCCGAACAAGGAAACAACCTATGTGTCTGGCGCAGGTCAATGAAACGGAAGACTGGCACCTGGCAGAATGCTTGTGTGGGAACGCAGCTCCAAAAATTGCCTCATAAGATTGCGCCCATGGAACTTGCCTGAAATGAGCGAAGCTTTTTTTGAGAGCACCTTCGCCCTGTGAGGCTTTGTTCCGAAACAACGAAAATAAACTAATCTTCTTGTGGGGTCAAATGACTTGATTAAGACCAAACCAACTGGTTGAATGACTTGCCAGAAACTCTTTGCACTTGAGGCTGGGCCCGCTTCGTTGCTGACACGGCCTCCGCCGGCGCCAGGCGACTGCGCATGCTCTGTGTTGTTTTTAGGTGTTGGGTGATGTTTAGCAATTTGGGTGGTGATGTTGCATCCCGGTCGATACTCGGATTGCGAAATTCCTGGCTTGAGCTGCGAGATTGCAAGTAGCCAGGTGCACCTGCTCAGGCTGGAGCCTGAGCACAGAGCGGCAGAGAACAGGCGCACAGGGGGTCAAATAATTTCACAGAGGCAAAACCAACTTGCTGAATGACTTGCTAGTGACTCTATGCATTTGAGGCTGGGCCCGCTTCGTTGCTGACACGACCTCCGCCGGCGCCAGGCGACTGCACATGCTCTGTGTTGTTTTGAGGTGTTGGGTGACGTTTAGCAATTTGGGTGGTGATGTTGCATCCCGGTCGATACTCGGATTGCGAAATTCCTGGCTTGAGATGCGAGATTGCAAGTAGCCAGGTGCACCTGCTCAGGCTGGAGCCTGAGCACAGAGCGGCAGATAACAGGCACACAGGGGCTCAAATAATTTGACAGGCAACACCAACTTGCTGAATGACTTGCTAGTGACTCTATGCATTTGAGGCAGGGCCAGCTTTGTTGCTGACACGACCTCCGCCGGCGCCAGGCGACTGCACATGTTCTGTGTTGTTTTGAGGTGTTGGGTGATGTTTAGCAATTTGGGTGGTGATGTTGCATCCCAATCGATGCTCGGATTGCGAAATTCCTGGCTTGAGATGCAAGATTGCCAGTAGCCAGGTGCACCTGCTCAGGCCGGAGCCTGAGCACAGAGCGGCAGATAACAGGCACACAGGGGTCAAATAATTTGACACTGGCAAAACTTGCTGAATGACTTGCTATTGACTCTATGCATTTGAGGCTGGGCCAGCTTCGTTGCTGACACGACCTCCGCCGGCGCCAGGCGACTGCGCATGCTCTGTGTTGTTTTTAGGTGTTGGGTGATGTTTAGCAATTTGGGTGGTGATGTTGCATCCCGGTCGATACTCGGATTGCGAAATTCCTGGCTTGAGATGCAAGATTGCAAGTAGCCAGGTGCACCTGCTCAGGCCGGAGCCTGAGCACAGAGCGGCAGACAACAGCCACGCAGCAAAAATTACAGACAGTTATTTGATTCTGCCACAAAGGTGATGCAACCGGCTCACATGTTCAATCTTTGTGCCGTGGAAGGTATTTGGATATTATTTTGTATTATTGTGTTCGCTTTTGCCTGGGGGAGAAGTACATGCTGCATGACCTGTTTTCATCAAGCTGCTCGTCAGTTCGGACTTTGTTCAAGTGGCGCTTTGCTTGAGGCTGGGCCAGCTTCATTGCTGACCCGACCCCCGCCCGTGCCGCAAGGCGACTGCAAGCGCTTCCCACATCTCTCTTTGACATCTATTACTTGTTTTATCCAAAGTAGAATGACAGACACTTTGCAGGGCATTCGATTTCGAATGATTTATTCTCAAGCCAGTTGCTCAAACTGTCCCACATCAGGCCTTCAGCTAGCCACACCCAAGCCCCAATTGGCCAATATAAAAGTTGTCCTTGATCGTCTATATAAACGGTTCGACTGGTAGAACCAAACCAGAAAGAGGGGGGGATGCTGAGCAACGCGCTGTGATTGTAAGTGTCCTCGTGTCTGTCTGGTTGGAACCCTCTTAGTAACGGAAACGGTCCCAACCGAAGCCTTATGCGGCACAGTTTTTGGGTATGTTCCGTCATGGGGCCACCTCAGACCTCAGACGGTTTTTTTTGCTGGTGTCAGACTTGGCAAGGTGCAGACGCGACGGCCAATGCCTCAGAGACTCAGAGGCTCAATGACCGCTGACCTAGGTAACCTGTGATCAGCAGTTCGGACATATGTTTGGATATTGTTAGTAGTTGTTGCCTCTAGATTCTGGAGGGTGTTGCCACAATGGCCATCCGGTGTTGGGCATCACATGGCCCGGGGATCACCCTGGTCTTACGCACTAAGAGCAAAGCTTCTTCCATATCAGAATACGTCAGAGGCCATAGCTGCATCACCTGGGAGGAGGGCTGGTGTCCGCTGCTCTCACACCAGGTTGCTGTGTACATGTATATATATATATATATGCACACACCGCATTTGTTTAAAGCATGTTTCCCGGTGTCGACCTTATAACAAGGTTTGGGTGCAAAGCGACACCCGCGATTCTGAAGGAGGCGATTCCCGAGCAGATGGCCAACACTCTCGACCCACGCCAACATTCCTGACCACTCCTCGGAGAATACGGACTCCGCAGTACTTGTTGTAGACATGGGCATGCTGAATTCTAAACAGCTAACTAAATCTTTTGCACCCGAGGGCCCCTACATGTGCATCAATCGCATATCATGCGTGAGTTTAATGCCATTACATCAACCATTGAAGCATGGAGACAGCAATTGTCCAATGTTTGATCTACGGGGTTAATCCTCTGTCCTTCGTGCTTCCCTGTTGATGTCTGCCGTCAGAACGCCACAACAAGTCTTTATTTGAGGAACTTGGCCGTTGGTCAGTTTGGTCGTTTGGTCAGTGGCTGGAATCAGTGAAGGGAATGATTAAGGCTACAGATGAGCCCTTGATCTAGTGCTGCTTTGTCCGTGGCTCCACAGGTCGAGCCTGCTGCATCTGCCCGCGCTCGAAGCTCAAGTGCTCACATGCGGGCAGCGTCCAAAGTTCGGTGCGGGGTCATGTTCAAAGTTGGCGGTTGGTAGTAGTTGGGCTTGTGTCTTTTTTCAAGGGACCCGGGCCGTTTTGGGTTTCAACCGGAAACCAAAAGGAAGCCAGCCCCATGTTCCCACATGGTGGGGCCTACCCGTTTCAGAACGGTTGTGACGCTGACATGCTTTTTGAGCAAACCTTCAGTCACCAGCGCGAGCCAACTTGAGAGTGTCAATGTTACTGCTTTGCCCAATCCGTTGGAGGCTTCCTGACGTCCAACAATACGGCAACATCTCTATAAGGCTATTTTAGGCATTGTGAAAGGGAACTCGAGCAAGCCAACCAAGAGGAGTAATTCATTTTGTCACATTGCCATGCGTAAACAGCATGCACTTCCCAGGCTGTCCCTGCCCGCAGTCACACAAGACAGCAAAACCACCTGCCTGATTCATGTCCAATGGGGTGGACACAAACTGTTGGGGGGCTGAATCTCCTTTTCCTTTGGTCTCATCATTTTTGGACATGCGCAACAATAACCCCTTCCTCCGCGCTGGTTCTCCAAATCCAAATCCGAAGCAGGGCCCGCAAGGCAGAGGACTGGGAAGATGACTACTCCTTGTTCATCGGTCAAAAAGACCTGGGCGATGGCTGGGATGGCTACGGCGAGATCGCCGGTGACTGAGCTCTGGGTTCGTTCCACCCAGAGTGAGAGCGGAGATTGGCCCATGCCCCCCTTTAAAGGAACCGCAGCTGGCTGTCGATGCCGGTTTATGTTATCTTCTTGGCCGCCGCGAAAAGAGCTTGCTTGCTTTGCTTTGCTTTGCTTTGCTTTGCGTTGCTTTGCTTTGCTTTGCTTTGCCTTGCTTCCTTGCCTTGCTTCCTTGCCTTGCTTCCTTGCCTTGCTTGCTTGCTTGCTTGCTTGCTTGCTTGCTTGCTTGCTTGCTGGCTGGCTGGCTGGCTGCCTTGCCTTGCCTTGCCTTGCCTTGCCTTGCCTTGCCTTGCCTTGCCTTGCCTCGCTTGCTTGCTTGCTTGCTTGCTTGCTTGCTTGCTTGCTTCCTTGCCTTGCCTTGCCTTGCCTTGCCTTGCCTTGCCTTGCCTTGCCTTGCCTTGCCTCGCTTGCTTGCTTGCTTGCTTGCTTGCTTGCTTGCTTGCTTACTTGCTTGCTTCCTTGCCTTGCCTTGCCTTGCCTTGCCTTGCCTTGCCTTGCCTTGCCTTGCCTTGCCTTGCCTTGCCTTGCCTCGCTTGCTTGCTTGCTTGCTTGCTTGCTGGCTGGCTGGCTGGCTGGCTGGCTGGCTTGCTGGCTTGCTGGCTTGCTGGCTTGCTGGCTTGCTGGCTTGCTGGCTTGCTGGCTTGCTGGCTTGCTTGCTTGCTTGCTTGCTTGCTTGCTTGCTTGCTTGCTTGCTTGCTTGCTTGCTTGCTTGCTTGCTGCAAAACTCTCACACAGTGATAAACTTGGGTACCCAGTCGAGCCCCTGATCCTCTTTAATCTGACTGCTTTGGGGTAATGGCAAGCTCTTTTTGGGGTAGGGGTGAGATTCTGAAATTAACGCCTTAGCCTTTACTTTTCAGGTTGGTTCATGCATACCTGGCAAGCCCAAGTTCAAGCCAGACCCCTCTTTCCCACAAACAAAAAGGTCAAAATGACTGTTTGCCCTGTTCGAGTGGGGTTCACAGTAAAGCAGGTCCAACATTAATTAGGCTTCCAGCCGGAGTCACAAAGAAGCAGCAGAACTGCTCTCCACGCGATTTTTGGGGTTGCTGATTGGAGTCGCATCACAACCTAGCTGACAAGCGAGCGTGTGAAGAAGTCACAAAACATCTACGGTCCGACAAAAAGGCGATGTTTGCCCAGTCCTAGTCATCGGAGCTCATTTGCACTTGGGCGCCATCAAACAGGCACACTCACAAGCACTTGCACCGCCAGCACGACTCGCCCCTCCGGTGCAAATGCTCATTCGACCCTTGCGCCAAATGCCTGGCCAATGTGGGCATTGACATGCTTTGATGATCAAGCGCTCTGTGCGTGGCATTGATATACTTCTTTTGTCCAAGCCGAGGGTTCAGGAAGAAGTTTTGCGCCCCACGTCAACTGGTGATTTTGGACGTTAGCGCCTGAGGAGCCTGAGCCAGTGGCGGAGCCAGCGGCAGAGCAACCCTTGGCACAGAAGGACAGGGTTACTGGTAGGCGATGGCAGTCTCATGCCGAGCGATAGCTGGACCGAACGCATGCAGCCATGTTTGTTGTGTTTTGTTTGTTGCCAGGGGTGAGGGGGCAAGCATTGGTCACCATTGATCACCAGCAGCAGTTTTGTGGTGTCGTTGATTGAGAGGAATGACAAGCAAGGACATTGCTGGCACTCCGGCACATGAATATTGATGCGACGGGAAACTTCTTCCAAAAGCATGGAGCTGCGTGTTTGCTCAAAGTTGGTGTGATTTGAAAAGAACGGTGTTGTTGAAACAGCGCGCTAGTTTGACCGTGCTCCCATTCTGGAGCTCTTGGATGGCTGTTGACTGTTTCAGCAGTGGTGGGGTGGGCCCTAGGGCATTCTAAGGCAGTGTGCGTGGCTCTTGTAGGTATCATGCACAAGCCACGGCTAGTTGTGACAGCAGCCTCTGAACTCCTACATTACAATTATCGCCCTGCCAAAACTTTACATTGCATAGCCCCAAATTCGAATCAATCAGATAGGCTACGTCCGGCTACGTCGGTTGCTTTCAAGAAGCGATTGGCCAAGCAACATCGCGCGGCTGGCCTTCGGGCCTTTCAGTCTAATTGCCCTTCAGCGTGTCATAGGCCAACCATGTTCCCCCCTCTTTGGCAGGTGCCTTTTGGTAGGTTTGCGTAGGTTCAATCCCCTGTCAATTTCCCAGCCTGGGTTGACTTGCTTCGGTGTGTGCGACCCTTCAGGGAGTCGGGCCCAGGGTCGAGTTTCGTCAACCCCGTCCTGTGTTCGTGCGGGAGCAATTCCCTGAGATCCTCCGGGGTAAGATACTGCGTTGAGGAGAGCTCTGAAGCGGTAGATGCGAAAGTAGAGGCCGGAGCTTGTTTTCTAGCATCGGCGAACGCGCACATCAGGAGCATTGGTTGTGGCAAAAGTAGGATGAGTGCGGAACTCTGTTGAGGGCTACACGCACATGCCCAGGTTCATTGGAAAGGAACGGGTTTGTGGGAATGAGAGTTTGGCTTCCATCCGGGAACCTTCCCCTTTGAGTCAAGAAATGATCATTGGGAAAGCACGTCCTGCTTGAGCAACCTTTCTTGGAAGCTCCTCCTGTAAAGGGGAACATATTGCCCAATGAATGTGCGTTTGGCCGGCACTGGAATTCCGATTCAGTCTGGATCAGTTCCTTAGTGGCGATAGAACATTCTATCCGCACAAAGATTAAGGTCGACTTTTTCCCTCAACCCAAAACCAGCACCGACAGACACGTTTGGCTTCAGCGCAGGCAGATGAGCCAGCTTCCAAAGAGGAGCCAAGGACGGGTGGGGCTGGGTTCTTCCTCCTGGACAGGCAATGCTTGTTCTTGATTCGGCCTCAACCAGATCACCTTGCTTGGACATCACGACCCGTTTATCCCCAAGTCCTGTTGAAATGTTATGTAGCACATGATTCCATTGGGCCTTCGGTTTGCTAGGATAGGTTGTTGATTAGTCATCACCCCTTTGGCTCAGGGCGAACCTGAGGTCAGTGCGCTTGGGAGCACAAACTCCAAGAAGGTGTTCATTCCCAAACCACAGGGCACACACATAGGCTATGAGTCTTATCAACGAGGAGAGTGGCTTGGGGGTGACCTCTTGGGCAAGACTCCTCCCCGTCGGGTGAGGCGGCAGCCAAAACATATCTTCATCTCTAGCCGCTTGGCCGCATGCGCTGATTGGATCGGAGATGAGTCTTGGCAGTGTGGGTGCTTTCTTCTGCATGCTTTGTAAGCGCCATCTAAAGCACACCTTCTTGTTTCAGTTTCAGCATGTCCGCATGTCCTGCAATTTCACCGACTGTGTCAACCTGAGGTTTCCTGTTCCAATCAACCTGCAAGCAAAGGGCCCATTTTCCCACGGGCTCTGGGCAGGTGGACCTCACGGCAACACCTCCATTTAGGCTTGGGGCCGAGGTCAGCCTGGGACGGGCAAGACCACCCTGGTGCATAAACTCCTCGAGAAGCTGCTGGAGGACCGCGAAAGTCATGGATTTACCTCTCTAGTTGTTCGGCTTTAGTATAAATTGCTTGCCGTTCAGTCTGTCAGTCTGTTTGGCTGCATGGTGTTGCATGTACACTCTGGTTGGAACTTGCCTTTTTGTTCTTCCACCAGCATGATGTTCTGGACCGTTTTGGGGTTCATTGGCAACTGGGGCGTGGTTTCCTCTTTTCCTCGATCTCTGTGTTGCGCCTAACGGGCCCTGAAGGAGGAGGAGGGCCCTCCAGCAAGCTGGGTTCCGCTGAAGTTCCTAATGACTGTTGATTGACGCAAACCTAGGGACCTTTCGAAGTGGCTCGTTGATGTTGGGGTTCCCGAAAAAGTTCCCTTGCTGCTCCCCTATGTTCCTTGACAGTGGTTGGCACTTTGGCCGCAGGAGGAGGGCGAGGGCGGGGTCGACATTTCAGGCCTCAAGCTTGGATTTTCGGATGTCAAGCAAATTTCAAGTCTCAAGAAGGATTGAAAGGGACTTTCCTTTCAATTGCTTTTTTGCAGAAGGTGCCTCAAAAGCACCCATCCAAGTGGAGGAATCTCCAATTCACATGAGACACGCAGATTTGAGGACAACAACTGGTAACGTTACATAAATTTCATTTGTGGACCTTTGGCTGCAACAAAGCAACACCGCAACGGCCTGTTTTTTGAAGATTTGCCGACTGTTTTTCCGTCCAGGGATGGGAACCCCGCGTGTCGGTAGTTGCAAGCCTCGGATTTTTAGAGAGAGATGCCTAGGGCCCTCTATGCCGGCTGCCGAAATCTATGCCTTTTGGATGTGCGAATTGCGGTCCACAAGCTTCCACTCATGGGCTTAACACTGGGATGCCCGACCAGAAAGCACGCCTCCTCGGGAAAAAAAATCTGGCGGGCGGGTGTCCACAAGAGTAGCATTATGCATCGTTCTCCCAAACTGCTTTGTCAGGTTCCATTTGGGTACGTGGTTGTCAAGCCTGGCGAATTCAGCGCACGAAGCTTGCTGAGGCTTCTACACTGAAGAAGTGAGGGATCCTCAGAGTCTCGGCGGCAGATTGGCCATCCGGTGTGGCCACGGGGCATATCGGTGCAAACCGTGGCCAGTCGACACAGGGGACACATGATTCATAGATCAATCCCTTGAACGCTTGTTTGTTTCAGTGTTATAGTGTTGAGAATGCCTGTTGAGTCCTTTACCCCATGTAAAAGGGCGTTCAGTTGTTTACTTGTTTTCGGGATGGCAAAGCTCCCGAACCTCTGAGCTGGTCATGAACTAGATTCTGAGATTGGAATGCCCACAAGACGATTCCCGTCATGGTAAAGGTTTTACACGGGCAAGTAGCCTCAATGAATTTGCCCACAAATGCTCAACTAGACATGTAGGTCATTGCCTTCACAAGTGGGTCAGCCAGTTATTACCAATCATCAAGTCTTAGATGAGCAGAAGGCTAGCCCAGGGATGGTATCAACCTCTCAACACGAAATTTGACAAGCATTAGGGGTTCCTCAAAAGGACCATGGCACACACTGACCCATCCTTCCAACCCAGAGCCCTACAGATTGGCTTTGGCACTGGTTGGCCAGTGCTGGTCTCCTCATCTTTGATGAACATCCAAATAACATGTTGACAGCCTTTGTGGCAGTTGTGCAATACTTTGCAGCCGCAGAAACTGGCCGGGTACGAAAAACATGACCACTGTATGTGAGTTGATCATCAATGCTCACGAGGCTTGCTTGTGAAACGTTCGGCTGCTTGGCCGTTGCTGCTTCTTACTTGGGCGCTACCAAGTGAAGCCGCCTCTTTTCTCGAGCATCGCCCAAGGAACGCCAAGCAGCGCTTGGGCTTCGACGTGGTTCGGCTGGGTGGGGCCCCCCAACTGAAATGTGGGCGCGGCCAGCGATCTCACTGACTTATACAATCAACCGTTCAAACTGCTGAACTCTAGTTCTGACTGGGACCAAATGAAAAGCTTGAGAGTTCAAGGTTCTGGTTTATATGTTGTCTTCCATGAAGAAGCATGGGCCACGGGCCAGTGGGAGTGTCAATTGCTCGTCTGAAAATCAACCCGAAGTTTGACCTTAAGCCACCCTCTCAACCGGCCTTTGGCCAGCCAGTTTCATTGGCCACTGTAGTTTTTTTTTTTTTAATGGAGAAACATGACACAAATGCCTCTCATGCCTCACAGGTCGACATATTAGATTGCCGTGTGCCTTCCAGCTGCGTTTGCCAGCAAGCATTCCCCCACTCAACTAGCCTTTCGAGCTTTTGCCAGCATTCCTTTCAAGCATTCCTTCACCTTTTCAGTCTTTTGAGCTGAGCCAAACCTCTAGCCCCGCTCCTTCCTCGGGACTAGGCTCGGAGGTGGCTCCCAAGCGGGCCGTGCTGGCGCGCCTCGGGCAGGTGCGGGGAGCTTGGGGAGCTATCGAATGACGTTTGGAATAGCCATCCCTTCAATGCGGCTGCTCCTGCGATTATGTGTTGTACAACAGCTGAGTGAAAGTGAAAGCAATTTGCTTTGCCGCAGATCGGCAGACCAGGCAACAAGCAATAGCCAAAGCTGTCGACAATGAACATGTCAACTTCATGGAACCATCCAATTGTGTTTCCACTGTGCAAGATCGGCCTCAAGCAAGGTCTCAGGCTAGTATAGCCTGGGATTACCAGAGTCGACCCAAGGTTGGCTTCTGTCTCACTTACCTCTGTACCTCGTGCTGCCTTTCGGTTGAAACTGGAAGGCCGGCCTCTCACTTGGAAGGCTGCGACACAGTCCCACCATATCATGCGGGTCAACATCATCTATTCATTAATCACGGAGGGACTCAATTCATACCTGCAAAGGGGTTAGACGAGCCCAGCACGCAAAATACTTATCACAAGCAACACGCAACAAGGCGAGTAGCAAAACACGACGGGTGAGGGGAGACAAATGCAGAAGCGTCCAGCGTGGTGTGGTAGGCATGGTCCTTTCTTAGACCTGCATGCAAGGGGTCCTTCATGTGTTGTTGGTTCGCTAATTGCCGCTGTGTCATGAGTGCTGTTGCGCTTGCATGGCACTTTCCGGTTCTAACATAGCAAAGACCAGGATGCATGAGGCAAAAATATACATCATTGCACGTGCCAGGGGTATGGCACGCGTGATACTGCAGTATCATCATCCAGCCATCTCTTGATTCCGGTTGGCTTTTGGCCAAGTTGGTTGCGGTAAGGCTGATTGGGACAGCTGTTAGATAGTCAAGGCGTGTAGGGTTGCATCTCCTCTCTATCTCGCTATCTCTCGCTTCATGTTACGCACACTACCCTTGGTGGAGTCCTGCGCCCACTGCTGTGCTTAGCAGTTTTCACTCGCTACTCCAGTTCCAGGCGGCCTTTCCCAGCCAGGCAGCGCCCAAGGTGGGCAAGTACTCGGTGGATGTGGCCGCCTTCGAGGCGCGCGTCTTGACGCCGGGATGCCGGGCGCCGGGCCGCGCGGGAGATTGCGTCAAGTGGCCCGCCAGCCAGCCTCAGGCCTTCGCGCTGCCAGCGCTGGAACCTCCCAAGGAGGAGCTTCACGTCGTATGGGAATCCCGGTGTGTGGAGCTCCAGATATGTTGCCAGACTTGGCAACTGTCTCATGGGTCAAATCCCTTTTGGGATGGCTTTTAAGAGAAAGCCACATGGAGGGGTCCCTGATTAATGCAGCATGTTGGGTTCACAGCAGTTTCGTCTTCTTTGATGATTCAAACTGTTTGGGCCTACAGCTTGACCTTCCCGAGCATTTGTGCAGAACCGCGCCTTCGCACTCGCATTTGGAGCTACAGGCAAGACTCCGAAGAAGCATACAGAGCCTTTGATCTATGGCCAGGTACTCCAGGAATAATCCAATCTGGGCAAATTGGAGCGACCTCACAAGGGTTGTTGCGACCTTATGCATTGATAAATTGCTCCTTGGTGGTCCCTTACGTGTTTATTGTTTGAGTCTTCAAAGTGAGTAAAGCTTTGGACAGGTTAGGGTGTTCGTGTTCATTATATACCCTGACCTTGAACGAGCAACTTGAATGGTGGTCAGGTGATGCTTCGAACATGAACTCCCTTCAAGAAGGGGCAAATGGGAACAGAACGGTCTGATAGCACCATCTCCGCTTGGTTCTGTGTAGCATCTCCCGTCAGAGTGTTTTATGGATTTTATGGATTTTATGGTCTATCCATTTCGAGTGGTTTCAGAGTGGTTCAATGGCTCCGGCTGGATCCATTGATCCATTTCGACGGGCTTAAGGGACACAATTCCTGAAGCTGTGACCTATCCCAGACTGCCCCCCGCAAACCGCGGATCATACTTTAAACACTCAAATGGTCAAAGCCCTAGAGTGGGGACTGTCAGAAGGGGGGAGCGCCCAAGGTTTCCATTTGAGACTCGCTTGATTGGGTCTTGCAGTGCTGGGAATTCGCGAGCGGAAGATGACGCCTCACGTGGGGTTGGCCAACAATTTGGAAAAGGACTGCCCCTTGCTGGATGGTGTTTGCGGGGAAACCAATTGGAAACCTCCTTTAGGTGGTCCTTCGTTTCAGAAACACAATGTAGACATGTTCCAATTCTTGCTATGCCAAGGGTTCGGAGATATTGGTCTACTTCATTCTAGGAAAACCCCCCAGCAAGGAGATAAGGAACGAACATCTGAAATGAGAAGAGCAGCGCCGAAAGAAGCACCAGCCCTTGACAAGCCGGAACTGCTGAAGGCGCTCTATTGGCACTGGGTTTTTTGCCCGCGTCCTTGTGCTTAGTTCACTGTATTAGAATGAGAGCTTGCAGCGCGCCCTGCACCAACTTGTTTGAACCCATCCCATCTTGGTAGATCCTCACAAGAATGTGGTTTAGGAGGTGATAGACTCTATTCCACATGTGTGGAAATAATGCGTGTTGGGGGGGGTGTTTGTGCAAGCGCTACGGACACTCTTATCTATGGTGAGTGTATTTGGCGCTGTGCGATCACTTGGATTTGGCTCTAAGGCAATTCAAGACTTCACCCCAGGCAGCAGTAGCTACTTAATCAGATGCTTTCCGCAAGTGAATGAGGCAGCAGTTTGCTGAGGCTTGGGCTGGCGACTGCAAGTTTATTTGGAAAGGTGAATTCAACATAAGCCCAGTCCGCAAAGGCAGCGAGTTGGCCGGCTCTTCCTCCGCCCCATTCACCGACCCAAGCACATGTCTACGAGGAAATTGTTTGCCTTGCTTCGCTCGAGGTACAGCGTGAATGCTGATCTTCCACCAACGGCCACTGAACTTTCTGGCAGCTGCCAAAGGTCATGTGGGCCAGGCGTCAGCCAGTGCTGTACTGGGCATTTCAACATTTCAACCTTTTCCGCTATATCTTCATCTTGTGAGGCAGGCTGCAGTGACAGTTCACCTATCCGCGAGGCCTCACGATTTCTCAGATTTGGCTTTCGATATCTGGCGTCTAAACAATCCACATGGTTTCATTTCTCTGAACAAATCACTAGGGCATGGATATCTGGGCAAAATCTGGACCTCACAAACTCGCTTTTGTGACCTCACTCTATGATGAAGGTTCCTTCATAGAGAACTCTTATCCTAGGGCTTCGCCATCACCAGCTGCGCTGGCCGGTCGGACAGGTGAGATGGGGAGCAGTAAGAAGAACTCTGTTCAGGCGGGACCTTGTTTCAGAGCCTGACCTCCGGACCTGCTCCGCGCAGTTGTGACGACCTCGCGCAACCTTCCCGCTCGAACAGCCTGTGCTGCCACCATGAGTGGAAGAAAGCCAAGAGAGCAGACAAAAATCAAGCGACACGGCGGAGGGATGGAAGGAAACGGATGCACACTGGAAGTTGTGTAGAAAAGGATACCTCGCGCCCACGCCGCCCGCGAACCCACACACCACGCGCCAACCCAAGCATGCGCTCGCTGCGAACCCACACGCGCAAGAGGCTGCAAGGTTGCTTGCCCAACCCCCCTGACACTGAGCATGCAGTCACCCACCCTAGCTTGAGTACGCGTGTGCCTGCGTGCGTCCGCCGCTTGCGTCCGGCACACCGAAAGCCAATCAGACCAAAAAGCATCCCCGGCAGCCCGTCCCAGCCCCACAGAAACTCGCGGGAAAATGAAGAAAAACACGGTATGTGCCATGTTTTCCGCACAGCGGCGGCGGCCGCACTTGCGCAAGAAAAAGCGCTCACTCGAACGCAGACTTGCCCGCCATGTCCGCCTACCGCCAAAACCTACTCTCAGGGGGCCATGTTTGAAGGGTTTGAAGGGATGCTGGAACGCGCAGATGCTGGTGATGCAGGAACGCCGGAGATGCTGGCAAAGTTTTTGAGGATGCAGAGGATGTTGGCGGGGATGCTGGCGACTGTCCGGGGCGATTTGCGCGGTATTCACAGTGTTTTTTGAAGGCCGGGCAACGTGGCATCAGAAGCCCGTTGCAAGGCCAGGGAGGCCGGGGATGTTTTGGGGTCCAAGTGTTTGGGCCGGCCTGCGTGCAGGTGATGCAGGCAATGCTGAGGAGGAGCTTGGGGTGCAACAAAACACGTCAGCGGTACACCCTACGGGTAGGGTTGCCCTCGCTCTTCGAGCTCCAAGACACACAGCGCAGCTGGATTTTAGGGGAGGTGAATCGTTGTTGTTTACCCGGTGGATATGTTGTTCATATTGTTTCTGTTGCATGCTCACTCGCCCTCCTGGGTCTTGATAGGACTTCGAGCTGCCAGCGAATCCCCGGCTCTACCAGCCGGAGGATGGTCCTGAGGAGGCAAGACGTGTCAGAGGTCTTCAGTCTTGGATTATCTTGTGGGCCCTCATTTTAGGTTGGTGAAATGATTATGATTCAGATAGAGGATCCCTGTGTTTATGTCCTCGTCCTGAGCGGAGATGCTGCACCACCGTTTGCGCTCCGACCATTGACCGTTTTGGTGACAGATTCTACTTCCTGGGCCTCTTAGGCTTGATGGTGAATGCGGCATAAGCGTGCATGTGGGCATGAGTCTTCAGATATGCGCCCTGTGTGAAATGTGAATCGAAAGGAACCCCACCTGTCGGTTCCTAATTCGCAAGGCACCCCACTAAAGACCTAGTAACCCGCCAATAAAGAACCTGACTCAGCGACTGCGAGGGGATCTTTCGAGAGGGCATATGTTTGTTTGGCGCAGGCAGTGAGCCTGCTTTACGACCCAACGGAGGATGAGGCGCGCCTGCCCTTCAACAGATGCCAAGTGCTGTTGGCCCGCGGCACCACATGCTGACATGCTGGGGGCACTTGAGAATGTCAAAAGTAAAGCCCCTCTGTCGTGACAGCTGCAAAGGGCCCAAGAGGAGGCTATCCATTTGAAGAGATCCCTAAATTTGACAGATAGCCATCTACTCTAAGCCTCCAGGTTGAAACAGCTTTACTATGTTTCTGTTGCAAGGGCAAACAGGGACAACGATCCGTTTTCCTTTCCAAGCCAACAGTCAACTGTCAATGTTGTATGTAGTTTGCTTGAGCAGGGCTTTTCTCATTGGGTGTCACGGTCAGTATTTAATTCCGGTCATCATTTCATTTAAACTCCCAAACAGCCAAGAACAATGTGGTTTCGGGAGCTTATTTGTTAGATGAAGGTAAATCTGTCCGTTGTTCTGCTTGGTGTCTTAGGCAAGGGCAGAGTGGCTGAATTTATGACGGGCCTCAGACAAATCACAAAAGAGACCCATTGAACATGCAGTAACAAACAGGAGAGCGGTTACCGCATGGGCACACGAACCATGGGCGGCGTTGCTTGGATAGGGGAAGCGGGGCTGGCCTAGATTTGCAGACACATGAAAGCCCCCAGTGAGATTCGATTGAGCGCTGCAAGTTGAAATGGAGCGCATATTCAGATGTTTGCCAGCTGACATGAGAAGAGAATAACTTGCATGCAGGCATGCGCTTGATGCATGTTTGTTTTAGTCCAAGCTGATTTCTGAATATGTACACATTTTGCACATCTCCGTGTTCCGGTCATAGCAGGAGTCTTCCTTCTGTGTTTGGTTTATTGGTTACTTAACTTATTCAGCTTCTTTTGATACTGCTGAAATGTATATGTTAGTCTGTTTTGTCAACTGTTCTGTGTGCTGCTATGATTGTCAGTTTCAGCACGCGCATTGTCACTTGCTGCCTCCCAGGAAGGAGCGAATAGCCGGATATGCCTGGACTACGGAGAGGACCTTCAAACGGATTCGCAGCCGAACTGAGCATGCACAGTTCAAGGGGGCTGCTTTTCAAATCACATGTGCATGACCCCAAGCTTGTGGACTTTTGGAGGACTCTGTTTTTGGGGATGTGTCCATTTTGCAGAGAGATTGACTCATGTTTTTGTTGGGGAACTGCAGTACACAGTGGCACGCTGTGGGCATCCACTTCCAACACCAAGCAGCCGCCCCTATGTTTGACGACCTATGGGAAGGTGTGAAAACTGGGCTAACACCCTTCTCAGTGCATGTGAGCAACTGCCTTCTGGGTACCGGACTTTGGGGTACCTCCCTGCGCCCGAGGGCCTCAAAGCCGCGCGCTGCCGGAAGGGCCAGAAGCCGCCCCGGTGCCTGGCGCCGGAGTTCAGAGACCTGTGGATTGCGCAACGCCTCACGCTGGTGACACTCGAGGCCTTGCTGCTGGCCGACGATGACCTGTGCTGCTGCCTCACCTTTGGCCTGCAGAGACTCCGTGACTTTCAGGTCACGGCTAGTGATGACAGAATGCTGCTCGGGTCCGAGCCGCCGGCCGACGAGCAAGATGGGTGGGTTCCACCTGTGCAAGTGAGGCAGACCCCGGTCCAAGCTGTTGAAGATCAGTGTGCCACCAAAGCTTACCCAGCAGGCGATGGAGGAGCTGACTCTGCCTCAAGTGACGCCAGAGATGAAATTCCTTTGCGATTTGGGCTTGCTTGGCTGGAGCTTTGTCAAGAAACTGCCGGGCAAGAACTGGGAATCGATGCTCTTTGAAAATAAGGCCGACAAGGTGCCGTTGGCCTTGTTCGACCTCGATGCGGACTTCGACCTTGCGGGCGGCGACGGCAGTGTGAATGCAACGGTTGGCTTCGTCAGCACAGATCTGGACTTCACGGTAATGAAACGTCGGTTGGTTGAGTACCCGGTGGGGCGCTGGATGTCCGACTGTAGCTGCGACACGTGGGAGGAGCTTTGCGCAGCACAGGAGTCCAAGCAGGGATACCCCGTGAGCAAGCTGAAAGATGATGCGCCGTGCGGCGACTTGCCTCCAGGCCCCTGGAAGACATGCACCAGCAGCATGCTTGATCCAGCGCTGTTCGACCGATTCATCGTGGACGCACCGGATCTAAGCGCAGCCTATCAGGAGGCGGAAAGACTAGTGGGAGCCAAGTAACTCTTCGGCTGATGCTCAAGGTCTTGAAACTGGCCACTCGCATAGATTTAACTCACGTGCTGCTGAGCATTACGATGCGTAGCCGCTGGCCAAACGGCTGCTCGAGGAAAAACACAATGGCCCCTGATACGTGATTTTGCAAAGCTGCCTTGTGTGCTACTTATAAACAAAATATGGGCGTGCTAAATAGCGTGCTGGCATACCCGCTTTGCGTGCCCTGCACGGTTTTGCAATCAGGGCGCTAGCAGTAGCAGTAGCAGTAGTGGTCGTAGTCGTAGTGGTAGTGGCAGTGGCAGTGGCAGTGGCAGTGGTAGTTAGTGGTAGTCGTAGTAGTGGTAGTAGTAGTAGTAGTAGTACTAGTAGTAGTAGTAGTAGTAGTAGTAGTAGTAGTAGTAGTTATATGTCATGTAATTTATGTGTGTACATGGGGTTGTCGTGAACTTAGAGACCTGCCTTGAGGATGCTGCTTGAAGGAGAATATACTATGCAATACAAAGAACAAGTATTGCTTGGGAATCCAGCCACCAACCGAAAGGTTGTACGCTTGTTCACAGGAGAACACTGGGCAAGTCCATGTGGGGGGACTTAGGGTTATTCTATCGCTTGTTTGCGGGTGGCTTGAGCACCTTTGGTGGCGAATATGCATCAAGTTTCTTTGGCGGGGTGACTTCCTTCGACTTATGACACCAATGCCAGGAGCTGAACGTGCCGCCCTCCACCCTCCGCGAGGCGCTGTCCAGATGGTTGGGCCCAGAAAAGGTTGCCACGGCAATGCACACCGGCCACGCGAAGCCTTAAACTTCAAACAACCAGCATGGCCTGGCTTCGAGCTCCATACATTCCCCTGTTTGGTTGTTTTGTGCATCACCTATTTGGCCAATATGTTCTTTAGAAGTATCAAGGCTCGGTCCTATATAGCCCCTTCTTGTGCGTGCGGGGGATATTTGAGGGTGAAATGGTAGACAACCCAGCGTATGCTAGGGCTTGACCTCTGCCCAACCAGGTTCATGGCTTGACCTCTGCCTGTTAAGGGGTTAACATGTCCGGAGCTGTCGAATCAAGGTATGCTTCTAAGGACAAAGGGTCTCCTCGCTGAACGTGGCACTTTCCACGATACAGATAGAACACTTAGTTTTGGTTTCCTTTTGTTTTAAGCAAAACCTAATGGGCCCTTGTGAATCAACCCTTAATTTGTCGCGCTTACATACCCGTTGCAGATCTTATATAGGGACGAATGGCATAGCTGAGACTCACAGTACTGCCTATATATATATATACATATATGTGTGTAAGGGGTATGCAAGTGGGACAACTTAAGGGTCTATTCACAAGGGCCCATTTAGTTTTTTCTAGATTTGTGAAATCCCAACTTGGCTTCATCCACAGCTTGAGCAACATAGGTGAATGGATTATGGCACATACTTGGGGAAGTTTGTGATGGTACCACGGACCAAATCTCCAAGGATCTTTTGCAGCTCGTTAAGGACAGCCTGCTAATTGTACTAGAAAGAGTAGTCCGACCACTACCACCCTGGTTTCAACCAACAAGGTTGCTCTTTCGTTTGAGGCTTCACGGTTTTCTCAGGGATCCTAGCTGGCCGCCCTTGGGTTTGCCAATTCCTCTCAAAAAGGTGCGGGGGTTTGGCAGCTCCCAGTGGTTTGCGCCACAGATTGTCGACTTTGTCAGAAGAATGAGATGTTTTACCCGCGAACTGGTTGCATATGCAGTTAATCGGATTGGTCTTGGGGGCCTCCTTTTGGATGGCTTGAAGGAAATGTAAACATGAATACCATGCAAGCAAGCAGCTTTTCGAGATGGCCGTTTGAGACATGGGCACTCGGGCGGCAAAGGTGCCAGAGGGCTGGAAGCCCGCGGATGAGGTGCCTTGTGATTGTCCAGGGTCTTTTTGGTTCCCAAGAAAGGGATTACAATTGGAATGTTAACCCCGGATTAATAAACTCCTGGTTGATCAATAGGGGGGGCGTCCCCTTTTAGTGGGGATTCATCACTTTTGGAGGGAAACCCCCCCTACTAATGGGACGGTTTATTTATCCTGGGTCAACATGAGGGCTCACAGTGCTCTCACCTTTTCGAGTAGCCTTTTGAAACGCATGTTCCTTGACGTACATAATTCTGTGCTCAGACTCTGGTAGTTTGCACGAGCAAAAAGAAGAAAGGGATTCAGGGAAAGTGCCGCGTAAAACCAGAAATTGACTTTGATTTGCCTTCTTTGAATGAATCGCTCATTTTTGCTTTTTGGCCACTTGGAGAGGGTTTGTTCCTGAAATGGCGCAGTGTTGGGTGGAGCTATCCCCTGAAAAGTCTTGGAGAGTGTCACTGCCGTGGCTGTGCGCACGGATAAAGTTTGTTTCCGGCTGTGAGGTAATGTTCAGCCTGTGAACGGTCTACTGTTCTTACCCGATGTTTGAGCATAACAGCTGATGGCCCCACCTTGAGGCCATGGTTTCTCACATGCAACATGTCCGGTCGACTTCCTGAAACCAACATAGCCATGCGCGATTGCTTTGCGGAAGGGCAAAGGAGCAAAACCCTTAGGGAAGGTTGTGCGAGTCACTGCTCTTGCAGACTTTAGCTGGGACATGCATTGCAGGGTCACCTTCCTGTACCCCGCCAATCCATCAGTTTGTTAAGTTGCAGTGAGTTGTTTGTTTGTTTTTTGTTTGGCCGTCGTCCGGGGGCTATGTGCCAACAGCATTCTCAAGACTGTTTGAGACCAAGTTCATGTCTGGATCAAAGTCGCTGCGGGGACTTGAGTCTTTGCTGGCTGATACCGCGCCCATTCCCCCCATGTCAACGGATTCTGGTCTTTGGGCTTATTAGACTGGTCCTGTGTTTGGGGCAGGTCAGAGTCAGGGTTCCTTTGGGTGAGGGTGACTTGAATCATGGTGCCATCCCGGCCCAGCACGCACAATTGACTCCGTCATTCGTCATTTACGTGAGTTATTGACCTGGTGTTGAGCGGCTAACGTCGGGATACGTCGAAAGCATGTGGCTCATTTCCCATCCTCTTTCCACGTTTCCTGTCGCCGGTTTGCAGGAGGAGGAGCCGCCGCCGAGGCTCTGTGTGGTGGACGAGGCGGTCTCAATAGGGGTCCTTACATTTCCCTTTGTGGCCCAGCTTAGACCTCACCTTGCTGGCTATTTGTACGCGTATTTCCTTTTGGGGTGATGTTTGAAGGGCGCATGGAAACATCCCTGTTTCTCGATGCTTATTGGAAGCTGATGACATTCCCAGATCAGTCCTTTGGGCGCTCATTTTTGTCATCCAAAGTTTGTGGTGGACTCGTAACTAGGAACTAGTGGCATCGATTGCTTCCGGAGGTGGGCAAGATGGGCTTGCTCTCCGTCCAGTTCCCCAAGTCCCTGGCGCGGGTGTTAGAGCAGGTGGGTGCCCGAGACACCAGATCTGCTTGCAGGATTGAAGTGTGGCTTAAGGGATCGGGTTTCCACTATGGTAGACAAGGTGCTTAACAGCGTGTTTGCTTGCATCTTATTGACTGATCTATGTCAATTTGGTGCTTCAGCGGGTTTTCACACGTTGCGCGGGATGCAGATGCCAGTCTCCGTCCCACATCAAGACTCAAGCCTACACCAAAAGTCTATCATTGGATCTACCTTTGGACACCCGTTTCGGGAAATGAATAGATCCGCTGGTAGAACATGCGGTTCTTGTTTTGGAAGCTGTCAACAGAACCCTGGGTCACTCGTGGGCGCTCGGCCTGGCGAACTGGAACTTCGAAGTGCGTCAAACGCAACTTCGCCGTTGGATACTTTCTCTTTTTCGCCATTTTTGGTCACTTGGGTTCCGCACCCTTCCCCCCAACCGGCAAAGAGGTGTGAAAGCCTCGGACGCGGAAACGCCTGAGGACGTGGTGCTGGCCACGGGGGTGCAGACAGCCGCCGCCAGAGAAAGCAAAGCGGTTTGTGAGAAATGGGTATGTGTCAAACAGAATTTCTCTCCTAAGGCTTTGAACTTAAGCTTCACCCTTTTTGTTTACCCATCTTAAGCGAGGGGAATCGTGTCCAGGCAAACGGCAACACAACGGTTCGGTTGCGACCGATCTGGAATTGACTGCTGAATTAATCTTTCTCACCATTCGCCCATGTTGGAAATTGTGGGAAGCTCGATGTTCCCCGCGAGATTTACCACAACATTGCAGCCGCCAGAGGATGAATTTTCACGGTGGCCAATAAGACTGCCTGGGAGTCTTCCCCAAGAAAGCCTGGCATGGCAGAGCCAGGGAGGGTTTGTTGCGCCGTTGATGCTTCGCGAGGTCAAGGGTCAGCGAGACCCGGAAGCTGTTGAAGACATCAAGAAGCGGCCTGGTGTCCGCGTGGGTCTCGGTGACTTGTTGCCAGTCAGACCCAATTCGTTTTGCCACCTTGGATGACCCCCAACCAGTTTCTTGTCGTGGTTCAACAAGCCCTCAAGGGCGCACCCTACAATGCACGTGGGGAATTACCTTCTGGTGGTGTTAAAACCCCCCTCCAAGTAGGAGTGTTCAGCTTCAGAAGGTGATATCACTTTCCAAGCCAACCGCTGAGTGGTGCAAGTGGCATCATGGGGCCAGCTAAAACGCAGGGAACCCTGGAGGCACCTTCCTTCCGTGCTATTGGTGCAATGTGCAAGGCCCCATGACATGAGTACGCTTCAAGCATCCACAACACATGGACCAGAAGGATCCAGAGACTTGCACTCTCGGAGATCCGTTTGATTGTTTGACCACGGAAGTTGATTTTGTTCGCATTTGGATGTGTCTTTTCCTAGAGTAGCCTCCACAATCCCGCTCAGTGAAACCTCATGGCAGGTTTGGCTCCGGATTTGCTGCGACCTTCGCCAGGCGTGGTCAAGCTCACGCGGAACAATCGGGATGCATTGGTGGACCAGGCCGAGTCTGATGCGAGTTGATCCTAAGGGGCTCGCACCAAGCGCAATGTTGTTTTGTTCTTTTTCAGGACAGCGGAGGGCCTGCTCAAAGATAATTCTCATCCAGGGTCAGTTGATCAAGGGGAGCTGTCCCATTCTTGAGGTGATCTTTCACTTTAGAGGGAAAATAACTTTCTTGTGAAGCCTGGTGACCACCTGGTGAGCGCGGCAGGTGCGTGCGTGCGTGTGTGTGTGCGGGTGTGTGTTTGTGTGTGTTTCCAAAGTTGTGCTTGGTCCGTCCAAGCAGACGGAGTGGGCTTGACCCAATGCTCCAGAAATGTTAGATTAATTTTGGCAGGTATCTACCCCTTCGACCCGGGTCAGCATTGCCCTTGCATTTTTAATGGTCCTCCTGAGTTCTAAACTAGACCCCGCAAGATCGAAACATTATATGCTGCCGTTTGCAGACACTCGGCTCATGGCTAGGGCCTAGCTGGGAAAGTGGCCATCCTCCCTGAAGCCAAGTCAGGTAAGTCACACACTGCAGGCTGCGCGCGAAGTTTGAGTTTGGCAGGGAAGAAGGCGCACTCAGGCAAGGCTAGCTGGTGCAAAGCGCAAGGAAACAAAGGGGTCAAAACTCAACAAATAAGCCAAGTTATGTGGGATAGCACCCAGATCCCTTTTTGTAGCGTGGCTGAAACCAAGTATGCAAGCACTGTGCCACGGGGAAAGGGTAGCAAGCCAAGAACAAGTCAGGCCAAGTTCAAAATGCACAAACAACGAAACCTTTTATCAAGAACAGGTAGCCGTTGAAGCCTAAATTTCACCTACTTGTGTCGGAATGGCTATCATCCCATTGCGATTGCAGATTTGAAGTCTGGGACCCCCAAATTTGGTTGGCGATTAGTAACTGGGGGACGGATTGCAGAACCGGTTTCCCAAATCGATCCCCAACCCGAGCCAGGGTAGCGTGTACCGAAAAGTCCTTGTTTGTAAAACGGTCGGCCAAACCAATCCAAAGCAGTCTCATTGGGATGAATCGCACAAAGGCAATTCCCAAAAGCATCGGGAAGGCCGTCGCATGAAGATTCCCATCTTCCAATGACACTGTGGGTGTTGGCTCCGTGGCTAATCCATGGCTAATCCATGGCTAGTCCATGGATTCTATTAGCCTATTCTAATCCCGTGTTCCAAAGTGGTTCTCTTTTGCCGAGACCTACGCTCAGCTCCGGGAGAGCCTGGGCCTTGGGCTTCCTGGGAAACCGAAGCCCAAGCGCGTGGACAAGCGCAAGAAGAAGGACGCGTCGGGCTTCAAGCGCAAGAAGAATTTCAAGAGCTTCAAGAACTTTTAGATTCTGCCATGGCGTTTTGACACCTGCCAAGTAGCCTACCCCGCAGTGCCGGCCTCTGGATTTCTGCATGGGAGCAGCCAGCAAGAAGTTTCTGGGTGTAGATCGAGTTTTGAAAGGGGAACCACGTCGAGTTTCGACCTGTCGTTGGGCCGAAAAGAGATCCCCTTTCGGTTGGATGCATCTCTTCCAGCCCGTCTTGAAATTCATGTCATTTTGCCCTTAGCTTGGCTTAAAAAGGATCTGGTCACCGGCAACACTTCGCAAGGGCGAGCCGTGCTCGCGCGGCAGGAGGAGGAGCGGAAAGCCAAGCTTGCAGCGGAGCGCGAAGAGCAGGAGCGTGAGGACGAAGCCCGGGGTGTGAATCTATAGTCCACTTCGACAGTGGCAACAGCCATGGTTTAGCGCATGGACCCCAAATTGGGAAGATGTGCCTTATCAAAGGAATTCCGGGTCATTGTCTTTGAACCGGGTTTACGCGGCGGACAGCCATGTGGGGTCTTCCACTTGTACACGCCAACCACTTTGAAAATAGTTTGTCAACAGGTGGAACTTAGCGGTGTATGGGAGCGCCCGGAAGCGCCTCCGCTGCCTCCGCGCGTTTTTTCCTGCGCTCCAACTTGGCGCAGGAGAGGGAACGAGCCGAAGGGGCTGAGAAGGAAAAGATCGCCAGGACAGTGAAGATGAGATGTTTGTTTTCTCTTTTTTTTCTTCTCATGTTTGTGGAGTTGTGTGTGTTTTTTTGTGTAACACACTTGGGGAATGCGCTTTCAAGCGACATAGAGGACACAGCGAGATAATATTGTCGTAGGGACAGTGATCTTTGGCATCACAGAACGGGATATGTTGCACAACCATGCTGATGGCCTGTTGAGGCCTGAAAGCTTTCAGTTTCAGCCCCGCAAAGCGGCCCATGTGTGTTCTCGGGCGTCCGTGAGAGTGTCCGGGCGTGCAGAGGTGAGTGCACCATACCTTTGTCTATTGTTAAATATGTTTTCGTTCTTTGATATTCGCGCAGATTCGTGCGTTTGGAGGAAGCAAGTTGAGGGCAACTCCCCCTCGGCACCGGTTCCGGAGCCCCTGTGCTTGTGGTGAACAGCCCAAACTTCTTGCTCATCCGTGTTGTTTTGCTTTGTTAATACTTGGAACACGCAACACAGGGACTGCTCTTAAGCAGACCTACCACAGCCTCGACTGGGGCGATCATCCAGATACTGCTTTGCCTCCAAGTTTGTAGCCAAAACCGCTGTTCTGGCTGACATCGGCAGGATGAGCACCACCATGTCTGATTTTTGAACATGATTCTGGCAAGTAGGTGTAGTCCGGACGACGGTACTTGAAGTACACACATATCTCTTTTTGTCCGCCACTTTGAAACCTGAAGGGTGGAACGTGCACGGCCAGCGAGTGGTTTTGTTTTATTTTGTTCTGTTTGAAATGTTTTGTTTTGTTTTGTTGTTTTCCCGGTTTTGTGTTTCCCCCCAAAATCGCCGGTGAGCGTGTGAGTAGAGTGGCCGCCTTACGCCCTCCCTTAGCCTCCCGGCGGGCCGCACTCGCCACATCGCGAGGAGAGAAAGACAACTCGCGGGTGCCCAAGACAAAGTCCGAACGGGCGGGTCCTTGGGAGAAGTAGTCAACAGCAAAGTTGCTTTTAACTATTGCGTCTCCGATATGTTGCTTGAAAGTGGTGTTAGCGTCTCTTGACATCAACACCTTTGCCTTGTTTTTGGCTCTAGAATGACTCGGCTCTGAGTGGGACTTGATCACGCCACTGCTTTCAAGCCGTTCTGGCAGGTGGCGTTTATGTTGAACTTGCAAACAACGAGAAGATTCATCACTGCTGAAAGAGGCGGGTTCCTCACGCTGATCTTGGACTGGCCTCCGGCACCAAAACCATCTTTGGAAACTAAGAGGAGTTTTCGTTGAAACTGCCAAGATTGCCAAGGGTTTGGCCTTTTTGGGGAAGACTGGAAGATCTACTTAAATTTGACACTGGCATCTAGGGCACGGCTCTCGTCTCGGAATGCTTCAATTCCCCAACCACGCTGCTCTTCAAACAGATCCCAAATGAAGACGCTAGGGATGGATCTCGGCAGATTGCAGCCATAGTGACCTCACAATGCGGGCAATCTCATGCCAATAGTCACGAAACAGAGTGCGCCCAATCAGCTTGCTCCTTCGGAACGGCTGATGCACATTTTGCCCAAAGCGCTGGTTTTGATAGAGGGGTTTTAAAAGAACTGTTGGTGACCTTGAGCTCGATGAGAACACCTCACTCAGGCAACGCTCACAGTGACGCAGAGGATGTGAATGCTTTGTGCTTTGCAGATTGCGTCACCCCTTGAGCGCATTCCAATAGAGTGGCTGGATCTCTCTAGGGATGCCCATGGCAGGGTGTTGGCCATCCCACTTATCACAAAGGGTGGCATGCTTAAGGGTTTTCCGAATCACTGGTATTTTGTTACATAATTTTCCACAAGTCTCACAACCTCGTTCTGGCTTGCATCGCATGACGCATGCATACAGCACCCGTTTGAGCTCATTTGTTCCATTTGTCACAGGGGCCAACCTGGGACTCAGAAGTGGGACCCGTTTGACCCATAATTACTCTATAGCTCAAACAAAAGCTGGCGGAGGAATAGCCTTAAATATGTAAGTTTAGACCCAGGGTGTGGGAATGGTTCCACTTTGCTTCCAGGAGCTTCTTTGGAAGCGAAGAATTCGTCGAGAACACCCCTTGAGATGTGACACGCGTTGCAATTCTAAAAGCTCCCCACATGGCTTGGCACAAGTTTGGTTCCTTTGAATGGGTCACCCACGATTTTTGCGGTCGGATCCTTCTCTGAGGCCAAAGAGAAAGCTCGCGCCGAGCGCATCGCCAAGGCCCCCAGTTATGACGTGCGGCTCCGTGAGGGGGAGGTGGAACAAGATGCCGTCTTTGGGTTTCAACCCCTGAGGTTTGTGTAAAGGCCCTGCTCAGAAAGGGCAAGTATCAGATATGGAAAAGAAGGGCAGCGGTTATTGGGATGTGGAACAAACCATTGATCGTCCTTGGGTTTCTTCCCCCGTCAGCATCAATTTTCTCTTGTTGGCTGTTGATCTTGGTTGCTCCCTGGTTCCTGGTTTGACCTTGAACTATTGTTGTTTTTTCTCCACAAGCTGAAGCCCGGTGGGGGCAAAGTCCAAGGGATTTGTCCGCTTGGCCCGCAGGAGCGTGCAGAGCGAGAGGTCGAGGCTGCCAAGGCGCCTCGAAGGGAGGGGATCGAAAGGGGGTTCATGGTTTTCAAAGCTCAGTGTCATGTATTCCGTTTCGGGTGTAGCTCAATTCACTTCGAAGCCGCATTTATTGTTGGCTTACCATATTATGCATATACATGTTTGTTTGTGGGTTACATGCTTGGAGCCAACAGGGTTTGTTCCGGAGTGGTGCGTGTTGGCACTGTCATGGCGACACGAGACTTGACTCTGTGATAAAATTGCCATGTCAGTCTGCAATGTTTGATACATGAGAAGAAGCTTTTGTCACACTAGAAACAGCGCCTCCAGGTCAGCTGCTAGCGCCTCAGCAAACACAACTCGAGATTGTCCCTGATTCTGTTGGACTTCCGAATGAAGCGTTCGATTCGGTCAGTTCAAGCCTTTTTTGGCATAGCCTGCTACACATCCGGCTTAGGCGAGTTCTAAACCGTGGCAAGGCAGCAGACAACCACATGTCAAATGCACGTAAAGTACTTGTTGACTGCAAATATCAGTGACTGAACTGTACAGCGTGCTATCGGGAACGGCTAAGCAATTTGTGTGATGAACACCATCAAAATAAAACATGTAACAGCTTCCGGTTTCCCTTTGCAAAGCCGGCAGATTGAACGTGGCGTTTATTGTGGTATATGAACATGTGGCCGAGGAGCCTTAGGGAAGCCCCTGGAAGATAAATTTCCTGTTTGAGAGGCCCTCGCTTCGCTGAGATTCCAAGAAAGTGGAGCTTTGAAGGAGCGTTTCTGCAGCCAATCACCTTCTGCTTCTTTGCCATTCTATTCCGACGCTTTGCCACCGAGGCGCGGGCTGAGCGGAAGCGTCGCGCGGAGGCTAGGAAGAAGGCCGGAGCAGGGTGGCTTGGGAGGACCGAAGCGGATTTTAGATTGAGCAACTCATCAGGGTCCAGATCACCAGCATCAGGCAACATTTGGGCCGTTGGCTTCGCCGTCTTCGACACGTTCCACAACTTATCACCACCACCATCAGCGGCTCAAGGACATGTCATGTGAGAGGGGAAAGGTCAGCTGGAACTCAGCATCTGGCCTCCCGGAAGGCGATGGAAGATGCCAAGAACGGTGTGGCCGCAGCCCCAGCCCACCTCCGCGTTGAATTGGTTCTCAGGGCGCAACTAGAGATGCAGATGACCACATGTCATGGACGGCATGCCCCGCTCCATAGAATTCGCCGGCGGAAACTGATGTTTGATAAGCAATCAAAGTTTTCACGGGCAATCACAAGTGGCTGAGCTTCTGCAATTAGGCGAATCTATCCCCGGGCTCTACTGAGATATCGATCGATCCCAAGCCTCCGGGGAAATCCAAATGGAAGCTGGGGTCCCCCCCATTTCGAGAAGTGCCCACGGTGGAGATGGGCGGACAGAGCGAGGCAATTCACTCAGGTGCCCTGCGTTGAGCACGAGGATGAAGATGTGGAGGCCAGCGTGTTTGATGGAGTTTCACCTGAAGATCGATGTGCCAGGATGTGCTCACCAAATATTGAGGCATGCAAGCATGCCTATTTATACGGATACAAGATAGGGAGGAAGAGAGAGAGAGAGAGATGAAGAAAAGAGAGGTATGCATGCATTGCCATTCCAATGCTACGCTTCACTGTGCTAAGCAGCCGCCGATGCATTCCAAGTGAACCGTGTAATGGTGTTGCTTGCTTGTTGAATAGTTCATTTGTACGTTTGTTTAGTTTTGTTTAGTTCATTTTGTGAAATTGGGCGTACGTGTGCTGTTTGATTATTCGTCTCTTTTTTTTGTTGTTGGATTGTTTGCTTGTTGTGGTTCTGTTGTTTGGCTGTTTCTGGTTTGTTCGCTTGTTTGCTTCTTAACTTCAGTGGTTGCTTGTTTGCTTGCTTGCTTGCTTGCTTGCTTGCTTATGCTTGGTATGCTTGCTTGCTTGCTTATGCTTGGTATGCTTGGTATGCTTGGTTGGGTGGTTGGACGGTTATTGATTGGTTGTGTGGTTTGGTTTGGTTTGGTTGTTGGTTTGGTTTGGTTGGTTGTGTGGTTTGGTTTGGTTTGGTTGTTGGTTTGGTTTGGTTGGTTGTGTGGTTTGGTTTGGTTTGGTTTGGTTGGTTGTGTGGTTTGGTTTGGTTGGTTGGTTGGTTGGTTGGTTGTTTGGTTGGTTGGTTGTTTGGTTGATTGGTTGGTTGTTTGCCCAGTCGGTCTGATGGTCAGTGAGGCACGTGGTTGCTGGTTGCTTGTCTTTGGGTATGCTTGCTAACTTGCTAGTGCGTTTTCTTTTGTTTTGAGGAACGGTGTGGTTTCGTAGCTATTTAGTTGTTTAGTTGTTTAGTGTTGTTTTGTGTTTGTTTGCTTCATTGGTTGCTTGCTTGTTGGCTTGCTTCTTTGTTTCTTTGTTGTTTCTTTGTTCCTTTCCTTGTTTAGTTGCCTATCTATTTCTGTATTTTGTTGTTTCATTGTCTCATTGTTTCTTTGTTTGTTTGCTTGTGTGTGTGTGTTTGTTTGTTTGCTTGCTTGCGTGCTTGGTTGGTTGGTTGGTTGGTTGGTTGGTTGGTTGGTTGCTTGGTTGGTTATTTGGTTGTTCGTTTGCTTGCTTGCTCGCTTGCTTCCTGGCTTGCTTGCTTGTTTTTTTTGTTTGTTTGTTTGTTTGTTTGATGTGTTTGTTCATGTGAGTTTGAGGGCGTTTTCAGACGAGTCCGAGGTCAAGAATCGCCATCGTCGGTCTTGTCTTCACTCCCCTTAAATGGCCCTGCATTGGTTTCGCGTTTTCATCGAAGATTCCCCTTGGCACCTGCCTGAACAAAGTCCCAAACCCTTCTGCCTGGGGAGATGTCGGCCGCGGCATTCTCACTCGCAGGCAGTCGCACCTTCCCTGGACTTGCTTGACGATGCCATTGACGTGGTGGAGGAGTTCCCATGCGCGTTTCATTCGCGTGTTGAAATCGATCTCGCAAGCGAGAGGAAGCAGGCTCGCTTGGAGCAATTGCTCAAAGTTGATCCATTCCGGGAGGCAGAGCATTTCTTGGATTTCCGTTGGTTTGATCTTGCAGGTTCAGTAAGTTTCAATGCAAAAGCTGGCGAACGGTGCAGAGGTTTAATGCACCCTGGAGAGGGGACGAAATCGACAGATTCCACCTGCTCAGCGAATGAGGCTGGTGTTTCTGCCCACCACAATCTCCCACCTTGTCAGACCTTGAGCTTCCCAGGGTTTGGCAAGTTAATAGTCAGGGAATTGTCAGGTACTCCCCCGGCTCGGAAACAGTCACTCGTACCGGGTCCCGCAATTCATGGCTTTTCCTAGACTTTTGGTCCTTAGAATCCGAGGCTTACCAAAGGGGGTTACCGTTTGGGGCGGACCCTTGACCTGGTGGTACAGCACCTGCAATCACAAGGGTCTTTTTTGAGGAGGCCCATGTTGAAGGGAAACCAAAGGAACACGGGGTGCGCCAAACATGACAACCCCACATGTTCTTTTCTCAAGAAGCGTCAACTGTGTCATCATGCAAAGGATTGAGGATAGATTGCTCAGTTCATTGCAGAGGCACAAGGTGTCATTGCTTCCAGCGAGCATTGCAATAGAAATAAGCAAGGAAACCGTCACGCAGAACCCAATATTTATCAAGGGTCCTTACACGTTTCTTCACGGATCACACCCTGCAGTTTCATGTTGCCATTCGCAAAGAGGCCCTACTCAATTGAAGCAATGTGTGGCTGGGAGCCGAGTGACCCGTGCTAAGACCTGGTTACCTACAGTAACGCTTTCAAGCGCCGGGCTTCGCGACGGTTTCCAATTTCGGATCACTGGCAGGAGGCGCCACGGAAGCGTGCACGGAAGGCGCGAAGTGGCACCCCCTGGAGAGCTTTTGAACCATTCGAGTTGCTGTTGGCTCCGTAAAAAGTTAGGAGTTGGGTTTGACACGTTTGGCAAGGGAACGAGGTTTGGAGTACAACCTGAGATCAACCACGAAGGACACCTCAAAATTTGGATGACAAGGGTAATTAGACACGTTCCATCTCAGGTTCGTTGCCTGAAGAGAAAACCTGTTCAGAACACAATACTCAATATCAGACATGTAGATTTTCTCCAAACTGTGTTGTTGCATGGCGTGATTGATGGTTTCTCCACATGTCCGTCAGTTCGTTTTATCACTCTTTGGAAATAGGATGGGCTGAACGATTTTTTCCGGGGATTTCGCTGGCAGGCGGGCTCCATGGCTTCGTTGCCGTCCTTCCGGTCTGCCGCCTCCATGACTTCCCTGCCGTCCCCCAGCTCCCCCGCCGGGATCCCAATGTACGTCTCAAAATGGGGCTTGGAGCCCCAGCAGAAACGTCGGGTTTGTTTTGGCTTCCTTTTGCGCCTACCCCCAAAAAAGGTACAGAGGTGAGATAAAACCACCATGCATTTTGAAAAAGCAGCCCCTAAACTCGAACACCAGTGATAACTCTTCAAACATGTGTATTGTGTTTACAAGGCATTATTCAATTTAACCGAAACCTTTGTGGCTTTAGAAGGGCTCTGAGGTTTCCCATTCAGCCCCTCTCGCTTTCTGTCCTCGTCTTCATTATACCAGCCCGTGGTGCGTGTGGCACAATTGATTGTGTAAATGAAGGCGTTTGCATTGCGCGCGCATGAACTTCCGCAGCCGCTCCTCGAATAGCCAGTGTGGAGTAGCTGTACTGTCAGCTATGTTGCTTTTTGCAAACAGGTTGCGAATGCTGGCTTTGCATCAAGGGCAGCTTTTGCCACCGCCGTTGCTGCAACGAAAACAGGGCGCAAGAGGATTGCCAGCTTAGCGTGGCTAGACAAACCAGACGCCATCAACGTGACATGTTTCACAGCTATTCGCGCGTTTGTGTCAGTTGTGCACAAGAAGGCCTGTTCCAAAGCAGTCCCCTTGTATGAATTTGGACGCAGCTTGGTCCACGGAAAACGAACACACTCATATGCCCTCCAGGCTGTCGCCTTAGACGCTGATTTTTGCAAGAAAGTTCAACCTTCGTGGACGGTCCTGCTCCAATCAGGGCCGTTCTTGCAGTTGCGGGATCCGAGGCCGGATCCCCGCTAGGGCCGGAGCCGCCCGCGTCACCGCCGGAGGCTGGTGCCCGGCGACGTTTGCACTTCTCTGCCCTTGTTTCAGATTGGCAGTTGGCTTCAGTGACATTATCTTCCAAACCTTGTGGTAAATGATTTGTTTGCTGCCCAACTGAGAACGAGATACGCTTTTTGCAGCAGGTCACAGACTAACCCAGAGTCAAATAAAAGCTATTTTTCTTGGGCTACCTTCCAACCTGCAGAGGAAGGTGTGGGGTCATCAATGTGTTTGCTTTTGCATGCGGGGCTTGCTGAAAACTGGTCCAAATGCAAATGGTGCCGGGGATGCGTCTCCGCAGGCTGGCGGCTCTCCTTCGGACACAGCTCCGCCCCTGGCGGCCACCGGCAAGGCCGCAGTCGAAGGTCAATCGCGCAGGTTAAACTTGTTGGTGTCAAAACCACGGGGGCCACAGTCCAGAGCGATTCGGGTAGATGAATGGTGGATGGCCCCCATACAATAAGACAGGTGTTGCAAGAAACGTGGTGGATGGATGGATGGATGGATGGATGGATGGATGGATGGATGGATGGATGGATGGATGGATGGATGGATGGATGGATGGATGGATGGCTGGCTGGATGGCTAGATGGCTAGATGGCTAGATGGCTAGATGGCTAGATGGCTAGATGGATGGATGGATGGATGGATGGATGGATGGATAGATGGATAGATGGATATATATATATATATACATAAGGTCTTTAGTCTCTGAGACTGGCAATGATCCCCAAAAGTTGTCCCCAAAATGGAAAGACTGGGGCCCAAATGGCCGTTTTCGTTTTGATTCCCTTCCATTAGGTGACCTGTCTCCATTGACTTCCCTTTATCATTTATCATGCTAGTGGCGAGTGAGTCCTGGGCAAGTTTATTTTCACTACTCGTTGGCTGCCTCACAAATGCTGCCTTCTTGGGAGGGGAAACTCTGAGACCTTTAGCTGTTGCCAAGCTGGGCAGAAGCGTTGGAAGTGTTTCCTTGTTTGCGTACATTGGACAATCTCCGGCCAATGCAACCTCATGGCAACGTGGAACCAGTCAAGCTTTTGCCTATTTTCTGGCAGACCTTTGAAGCAAACGATTCCGTACCGGTGATGAAGGATCCTGTGATGGGACTGGACTGTTCGCGCAGCAAATGGTCGTTGCTGCCTGAATAGGTCTGCTGCAGACACGGCTGTGCCTGGTCTCAGCGTGAATCCCAACTTGATCCTTTGGATGTTCGGCATTTCAGTTGTTCTCTAATTTGGTGGTTGCACACATTCCGGAACCAATGACGCCGGGGCCGTATGAAAGGCGCCTCTTTTGATAACCCCCTACTCAGTTGCTCCCAGAGGCCTAGAATTTCCAGGTCGCGTGCTTTGGATACCTCGAGCTTAAGCTGAGAACACGGCGAATCGATTTGCGAGTCAGCTGTCAGGCTCGAGACCAATGTTAAAAGTTGGACGCCTTCTGGGATGGTCGAAAAGGAATCGACATGGAACCAACCCATCAAGTTGAAAGGGTCCCTGGTTTGGACAAACTCGCCTACTCACCTACCCACCTACCCAGCCCACCCAGCCCACCCAGCCACCCAGCCACCCAGCCCAGCTGCCAGCCAGCCTACTACGGAACCCATTTAGTTCCGTTTAGTTCAGCAAGCCCAGCCAATCAGATGCAAACAAAATTCAACCACCAGCCAGCAAGCCAACTCACAAACCCTCCAATTTACCAACCAACCCAGCCTACCCACCCAGCCATCACCGAACCAAACTAGCATCCACCACGCGTGTTGAAGCGCTATGGGCTTCAAGGTAAATGCGCCTTTTGGAGAGATGCGGGCCGCTCCCCTGCATTTTGTAGCCAGTCGGCCATTCCCAATTGGGAACCTATAAACATACTGTAAATGCGCATCAAGTTCAGTGTGAATCCGCATCCCCCGTCAATGAGAGGCCTTGGGCACTAGGCTGCTATATGCGCTGCCAGCTTTGTAGAGAGGCCTGCACAAGCATGACCTTTGAGGAGGGCTTTGAGCTCGCTTTTACAATCAGGCATCCGCACAAAAGGAAGCAGAAGGCATCTTAGTACATATTTTTTTTTTTCTGGCGTAAGGGGGTTGCCTTTGGATTTCCTTCCAGCATTTGTCCGGTCAAGACCCTCCTGCTTTGAAGTAAGTGTATGTGTGTGTGTGTGGGTGTTTGTTGACAAACAAGTCGCTCAGAGTAGGCGACATGGGTGTAAAGCCACAGGCACCCTGAATTTTGGGGGTCTCAATGGTACCAGAGGAGCTAGGCTTGCGAGGTGCAGAAGCCGCCCATCTCCGGATGTTTTCAAACGGTTGCAGGGTGAAGGTGCAAAGGACAAACAGTGGATCCTGTAGCCGAGGCGCGGCAAGCGCAGATATGGAGTTTGGCCGGTCAGGCCGGAATCCGGAGCACAAACATCCACCAGGCAGTTTGTTGGTTCCTGTTTTGGAACCTATCATGGTACGCCACTGATGATGCCTGATGGACTGCATCCAACGTTGATGTTGCTTTCCTTACAGAGGTGCTCTGAAACTCATCCATTCCTTTGTGCGAACCTTGCGCAACCCCAGGCAGCCAGCACAACAAGTAAATTGCAGTCTTCATCGCAAGTCGAAAGCCACAGGCCGGAGTAGCACAAGGCCTTTAGGTTTACTGGATTTGATGGCTGTTTGGACCACTGTGGCTTTGGGATTTGCAACTATCGAGCCAAGACGGTCACTACTTGTTTTGATTTGTTTCTTTGGTAGGGATTGAACGTTTGGTCGCCACCCCAAAAAATGGGTCAACTGATTTGGATCGATGTAGAGGCAACCGGATTCAGGTACGGTACAATTGCTTTCGCGACAGGCATGTCGGGATTTTTCTCGCATTGCGGTGCCTGGACCTTGCCCAGCAAGCTTTGCAACGGGCACTCTTGCAGCCTGGACATGTCAGGCTGAGCGCGGATGTATCTGGCAAGGCCAGCGCCGATCTGGCGAAGGCAGGGGCTCTGCAAAACTGGAGGGCGGCCTGCTGTATGGAGAACATAGCAGGTGAGGGCAGCCCTTTTACCGTTGTTGATTAGAACAGGGCCAACGATGCAATTCAACAGTTTTTTGGTATTTCAGCGAGTCTCTTGGCATTTTAACGAGTCAAGGACAGATCAGACCTGGTTGCTGTTTGCGCTCATGCCTTGTCTTTCTTTTTCTGTCTTGTTTTTCCGGCTGGTGTTTTCACAACCTTCTCAGCACACATAACCTTTGGAGCGGAGTACCGGCAGCGCGCTTGGAGTGATGCAGCCTATTGAATCTTTGATCATTTATCATCAGGCTGCAGGAATCTAGGATCCCAGCGCTCAAAGCTCCACTGTTGTTGGTTGGGCTTGCGTTGATTGTTCTGTCTCTGGGAAGCGGGATCCATCCTAGTGATTCTGCGTCCAATTGTGCTGTTTCCCAAAGCAAATCGACCTTTTGACATTATTGCTTTCCGCGTTTGATCCTTACGTCAGGGCAACCCAACAGATGATCACCCTTTGCTTTCGGGGCCTGGGTTGCAAGTCATTGAGGGCTGAATAGGGCTGAGAATCGAGCGGTCCTCCAGGATGGTGGCGAACAGACAGCAATTCTTCGCTCAGATCGCTAGTCCACTGTGTGCGGGAGGGATGCTCAAAGGGTTATCCAGATGTGTGCCTGTTTTTTTCCTTCTGTGTGTTATACCTCATGACCGACCACCGTCCACCAAGTCTTTTGACAGTGGCATGTTTCCTGCCAGGAGTGCAGATCAGACGGAGTCGCGAGCAGCTCTTTGCGAGCAAGGGAGCCGCGCGAAGGCCCGACGACCCTGTTTGAGGACGGGAAGCGAGGAGCTGTTTGTTTGTTTCTTTGTTTGTTTCTTTCTTTCTTCCATTCTTTCTTTCTGTCTTTCTTTCTTTCTTTCTTTCTTTCTTTCTTTGTGATGTCATGTAAACCACTGTGGACTTGGCATGTTGTCTCTGAGGCCCCAACCCGCAGGCCTTGAGTCAGATGCGCTCACGCAGGAAAACAAGGCATAGCGGCCTTTAGAGTTTCCACCCACAGTGATGGCGGAGCCAAGTTCACGATTCCTGGCCACGGGCCAGGCGCTACTTTGACAACGGGCTCAGTACCTGGCGGCCAACCGGCAGCAGGGCACAGGCGGCGCTTCAAGCCGAGCGGCTGCGCCGGCTCAGGGCCAGCCTCAGCCAGGTCCACCTGGTCACTTCGCTTTCGGGCCCATGCCTCAAGGGCAGGCCCTTGGTGGCTTCATTTACCATGGAGCCCAACCACTGGCAGGAGTCGGGTTGCCTGGAATGTGCCTGTTGGCAGGACTTTGTCCGGCCCCAGCGCTGCGCCGCAGCTAGGTCAACTTCATCACATAGCCGCAGCGCCCCCGACTTCCTGGAGGAGTTGGTTGGGCGCAGCCCTCCAGGTTCAAGGCGGGTGCTTTCGGCTTTCCAGATGCTGGGAAAGGCACCTTCCAGGGCAGCTTCGACGTACACTCGGAGAGGCCCACCACTTCGCGAAGGCAAAGGTGGGAAGAAAGGGCGGGGCAAGTTTCGGTTCCCTAGTCGCGGAATAGTCGGTCAGCACACTCCCTTTTTGGGAGGATGGAGCAACAGTTGCCTTCTCCGATGATGTTTCTCCGCCATCTTGCTTCAAATGCTGGTCAAGCAACAGCCGCCGGCAACAGGAGCCTTGCAACCGTGTGCAAAAAGGCCCTGGACCTCACGTTTCACCATCAGCCAACAAACAGTCTAGCATGCCAGACATCGCAAAAGCAAGTCAAGCGGGCCGAAAAACTCTGACACTCCCAAGAACGCACGTGAGGATCATGGTGCCGAACACTTTTTCCATGGCTGACGATGGGGCCGAAGACACAAGCGAGAAGGTCAACCACCTAGTGGCCCGGACCTCTAATGCTGTGGCATCGTAACAGCCCGCCTGGTGAGGGAGACGTCCAACGAGCAGCGTGTAAACCAGTGTGGACATGGCATGTTGTCTGCCCCAACCCGCCGGCCTTGAGTCAGATGTGCTCACGCAGGAAAACAAGGCATAGCGGGCTTTAGAGTTTCCACCATTTGTTTGTTTATTTGTTTGTTTGTTGGTTGGTTGGTTTGTTTGTTTGTTTAATGTTGCCGAAGAGCCAACATGGGTAGAGCGATGTGACACGAAGGTATTTTTCTATTCTTTAACTGCTGCTCTACCCTCGTAGAAGGGCTGCTCATTGTTGACCTGGTGGCTTAAGGCACTTTGCTCATTGCGGAAGAATCAATGAAGCATGCGGACCGTGCCCGCGCAACAAGTTCACCCTTGTGGCACATTAGCCCATTTTTGCCAAGAGCTGTGCACATACGCGTGAACAAGCGCTGATTCCATTGTTCTGACCGTTACTCGGCATGTTTGCGACATCGTGTACGTTGGGTTTGCTGTCGGGCGCGCGGTGTGCGGGCACATTCTTGCTCTAGGTGACGTGTTCATGACCTCTATCCAAGTAGGTCTTCTCTTGGCAGCAAGGACCCTCGTGCCGCTCGTCGTCCGCACATCTCCCCATGGCAGAATTGATTCAAGCACCTCCCCTTCAAAAGCTCCTTGCGCCCCGCCTCCCCCCACAGAAAGAGATTGGGATCCCCCCAAGGAAGGACTCTGAAAGGCCTTCTAGGAGCAAAGCTTCCAGCAGAACCTTGTCTGGAAAAATCCAAAGTTGCCGGGAAAAACTTTGGTTTCCTGCCAGGACCAGTTCCCTGCCAACCTCCTGGACACCGGCCGGGCGGACCGGTCCTCCTGGTCTGGACTGCGAGAGGCCACCAGCACGGCGCTACACCGGGGCCCGGAACCCCAGGGGCTCGGGGAAATCCGTCGCTTGGATCCGCAAATTAACCCTTTCCCCCTAATAACAACGACCCTCCCCCCCCAATAAAAATAAGCTCAGGTGATATCCCCAACAGCACGCGGTCTCGCAGAACCTCGTGGAACCCGGGTGGAACCCGGTGGAACCTTGGTGGAACCCTCGTGGAACCTTACCTCCGGGCCGCCCCGGACCACCCCGAAGCCTATCTGGGCTGAGACCCCAAAGCTTTCAGCTGTTGGGGAAAAAAATCCCGGCCAGCAAAACATTTTTTATTATTAGGGGTCCCCTGGATCTGGAAGGCAGGTTTTGGAGGTACCTCTTGTTCTGCGTAGGTTTGTCTGCAGCTGTGGTCCCCCTGTTCCGGTCCCTAAGATCGCTTCAAACGTACATTTTCGAGTAAGGAATTTTAATAGCGTGAGTTGAGGTCATGTTTTGCTGTTTTTGGTTGTGGGTTTTGGATCACTCAAAGGGATCTTTTTGGAGTGAGAGAGAGAGAGAGGGAGAGAAAGAGAAAGAGAGACGTTTGAATCCACGGCACGCCTGTACGGTAGCCGTTTCGTATCAAAGGAAACGTGCTCCCGGAGCTCTGGCTCGAAAGTCGCAACTTTGTAGTACAGCCGTAGTAAAGGAAACATGTCCCCGGGGTCCCTTCAATGGGGCTGGATTTGAGTACGGGCAGGAAAGTACCTACTTTAGAATTGGTTTAGTTTGGGACTTCCAAAACAAATATTTATTATTAGGGAGACCTTTATTAATAGGGGGAACGGATTACAACACATTTTTCCAGAGTTTGTGCCTGATATTGGAGATATTTGCAGAAATGTTTGACACAAATCCCGCCTTAAGTACGCTGGCCTGTTTTGCCTGTAATTGAGTGTTCTTGCGAGTGTGGCCCTAGCGTTCGTTCCTTGTTGGTCTTCTGGTGGTTGGAGGCCTTGAAATTGACGGCCTTGCCAGCTTGCTTCGAAATGCCAATCTCGCGCCTTGGTGGGTTATGTAACTTGTGGTAGGTAGAACAAATATCGCGAGTTTGAGTAGTAAAATGTATGTAAGTCCCATGGGAATGCTGATGCTCTCATTTTGGGCGCGCGCTCCTCGATGAGTTTCCAAGGCAAGAGCTGGGCCCTCAAGAATTGTCAGAAGAAAGGCTATGCAGCCGCCACTCTGAACTACCGTCATCTCTGAACTGCCGTCCATCCTCCATGACTGAGCAAGTCTGCAGCTAGTGCCGAGGCAAGTTGGACACCTACCTTTGGTGGCACTTTGCCGGAGACGCCCGGAAGCGGCTTATGGCCAAGTCGGTGCTGAGCGCCCAGGACAGCTAAGCCAAATGGCTGTCGTCATATTTTCCGAGACCGAAAGGACGCCTGGTGACCTTTGGGCCCCCCTTTGAAAGCTGCACAAGATGAGTTGCCTGTAATTTGAGAGCATAAAGCTTTTGCAGAGCGACTTATTAACACAGAAGCAGGACGGATCACTGGACCCAGGCTTCAGCACACGACGTTTTGTTTTGCCAGATTTGTTGCGGGTCATTATGTCCAGACCAGCAGCTAGTTTATAGGGCTGTGAAGGAGTTCCTCTGCAATTGTTAAGCTGTGACCTGGTTCCATTGATTGGTTCAACAACGGACGGAATAAATAGTTCCCCTCCTGCAAGACTCTGCAGGTGTTCAATTTCTTCCTCTTCCCATTGTCCATTGGCAACATCGGCATGTTTGTGTGAATCATTGCCATATCTCAAACCGGGTTTGCCACCTTACCATGAAGTTTCCTATAGTAGGGAGGTGTGTGGATAGTGATTTCAAGCCCAGCCATTTAATTTGGGTTCAATGGATTTTGCACTGGTTCCTTCGGTTAGGACGGCGAGGATGCCACCGCTGTGGTGGTCGCCTGTGCCCGCGCCCGCGTGGAGAGCCCTGGCCTCTATCAGGCCTGGGCCAAGGCAGCGGAGAAGCCCCAGTTCAGCGCTGGGTGGCTCGGATTTGTGAAGAGCTTCTGGTGCGGGTTGTGCGTGTGGTGCAACTGGGTCAGGGTCTGGCACCATCTGACATGTTTCCTGTTGACTAAAATGATGAACATAGAACATGTTGCGATCCTGGGTTTGGGGTTGAACCTGGATCCAGACAAAGAAATCAATGATTCCATTCTATCCCAGAGGACTCAAACGGAGCTTTGCAGATGGCGACCGCAAAGCGCAGGCCATGACTTGGAAGCCCCAGCATGGAGCCGAGGATCGTGGCCAGCGGCGCTTTCTTCCTCAGTCGCGCGGAGGCACCGATTTGCGTCATGGTTTAGTGGGTGGAAGGCCGCGCCGAAATGGTGCGGGCTTCAATCTTGAGGGTTGGGTGGACCCAGAGAAGCATTCTCGACTGGGCTGTTTAGACTCTGGGGAGCCAGTTTTACACGGGCACGGCCCAGCTCGCGAACGGGGGAATCCTCACATGCTTCCTTGGGCAGATTTCCCCAAAAGCAGTACAAACCTTTCAGACTCTGCTTGTCTTTGCCTCAGGTCCTGCCTGCCACGCCCCGCCTTTGGCACGACGTGCTGCCCCGCACGCTGGCTGCGGACGCGGCAGCGCCGGATTTGGCCAAAGCGGCGGCGGCCTACGCAGCCTACGCGGCGACCAGCGCGCGGGAGGAGGCCGCGGTGACAGCGCGTGGGGCCTCTCAGCCAAAGCGAATCGAGGGAAAGCAAATATATTGTTCACATTTTCCAAACACCAACTTGTTTCCTGTTGGTAAGTGGAACTCAGGAGCAATTGTCTTACCCAAGTTTGTTTTTGTCTTTTTTTTCTTTTTTAAAGAAGTTCACCTTCACTCGAGTTTTCTATGAGATGAGGTCTTCGCAGAACTCGCGCTGAGCAGCGCCCAGCTCAGCGCCACGGAGGCAGCGCTGGCACTGTGGGCCTGGTCGCGGCTGGGCGCTGGCGCAGGCGGGGCGGAGCTGCTGTGGCAGCTGTGGCCGAAGTTGGAGGCAATGAGGGCGGGCCGTGGGTTGGTGTGTATTTGTGTGTGTGCTTGTGTTTTGTGCATGTGTGTTTGTCTTTGTGGTGTGTGTTGTGTTTGTGAGTTTGTGCGTGCATTTGTGTTTGTGTGCGTATCGGGTTGTTGTTTGAAGGCTTCCTGACTGATTGAACAACTGCGAGTCCTTGTTTCCTTTTGAAAGGCAGACCAGGATCAAGATTTCTGTATGTGGCAAGACTGGAGGTGTGGCTGACTGAGGCGCAGGTGGAGTCGTGAATGTAGGTTCCTTCGATGGGTGTTTGTCCAAGCAATCCTTCTTCGGGCGGTATAAGAGCAGTTCAGGGTACAGGCGCAGCAGGATGACCAATATTTTGCTTGTGTGTGTGTGCGTGCGTGAGTGATTGCGTGGGCGCATGTGTGAGAGGGCGTGTGGGTGCATCCGTGCGTGTCTCTCTGTGTGTCTCTTTGTGTGTCTCTTTGTGTCTTGTTCTGTGTCTCTTTCTGTGTGTCTCTGTGTGTCTCTCTTTGTGTCTCTCTTTGTGTCTCTCTGCGTGTCTCTCTGTGTGTCTCTCTGTGTGTCTCTCTGCGTGTCTCTCTGTGTGTCTCTCTGTGTGTCTCGCTGTGTGTCTCTCTGTGTGTCTCTCTGTGTGTCTCTCTGTGTGTCTCTCTGTGTGTCTCTCTGTGTGTCTCTCTGTGTGTCTTTCTGTGTGTGTGTGTGTCTCTGTGTGTCTCTCTGTGTGTCTGTCTGTCTCTGTGTGTGTGTCTCTATGTGTGTCTCTGTGTGTGTGTCTCTGTCTCTCTGTCTCTCTGTCTCTCTGTCTCTCTGTCTCTCTGTCTCTCTGTCTCTCTGTCTCTCTGTCTCTCTGTCTCTCTGTCTCTCTCTCTCTGTCTGTCTGTCTGTCTGTCTGTCTGTCTGTCTGTCTGTCTGTCTGTCTGTCTGTGTCTCTGTCTCTGTCTGTCTGTCTGTGTCTGTGTCCGCGTCCGTGTCCGTGTCCGTGTCCGTGTCTGTGTCTGTGTCCGTGTCCGTGTCTGTGTCCGGGTCCGTGTCTGCGTCTGTGTCCGTGTCCGTGTCTGTGTTTGTGTCCGTGTCTGTGTCTGTGTCTGTGTCTGTGTCTGTGCGTGTGCCTGTGTGTGTGTGTGTGTGTTTGTGTGTGTGTGGTGGTGTGCGTGTGTCTCTGCGTGTCTCTGTATGCTCTGCGTGCTTCATGTGTCTCTATGTCAATGTGTCTCTGTGTGGGCGTGTGTTTTTTGCTGGTCGGGACAGTGCGTCTCAAATCTTTGGTGTTGGGTCCATTTGTGTTCATGTGAAATGGAACATTTGCTAAGCACCTCCAGGGCCGACTCGGAGAGATCCCTCCGGTGCTGGTGGCCTCCCTTGCAGCGTCCTGCGCCTCCTTCGCTCGACTGGGGACCGCGGCCACGGCGATCCTGGAGACGTTGGCAAAGCGCCAAAAGAAGCTTGAAGTGAAGGGGTTGCCGTCGACCGCTCTGATACCTGCAAAGAACGAAAAGGAGTCGAAACAGGTGTTAATTATGATTAAGATTTGTTTTAATTCTTTGGATTTGGGTACTATTTGACAGCTTCCGCAGGGTATTAGCATGGATGTTAATACCTCTCCGTGGTAGTAGGTCTTGAAGCATTAACATCGGGCTTAATTCTTTCTCCATGCAGGCTCATTTCGGGGAATTAAAACACGTTTTAGGCTAAAATACATAAACCTGATGTTAATTCCTGGCAGCTTCTGAAAAAGAATAAAACCAGGTGTTAAATCCTGGCAGCTTCTGAAAAAGACTCCACCATCATCATCATCTTCCACCATCATAATCTTCCACCATCATTATCATCATCATCATCATCATCATCATCATCATCATCATCATCATCAATGATCAGCCATCAACAGAATCAAGCCATCATCATCATCATCATCATCATCATCATCATCATCATCATCGACATCATCCACCATCATCATCCATCATCAGCCATGACCATCCATCATCATCCACCATCATCCATCATCAGCCATCATCAGCCATGATCATCCATCATCATCCACCATCATCCATCATCAGCCATCATCATCCATCATCATCCATCATCATCCATCATCGGCCATCATCATCCATCATCATCCATCATCATCCATCATCAGCTGAGGATCGAAAGACGACTTTCAGTCAGTCTTTGTTTTGTGGGTTGGTGCTCAAACAGCGCAAGCTCCAGGCTTTCTGGCTTCTTTTTTTATTTGCCGTTCAAACATTCCCAAGAAGGGATACCTCCCCAGCATATGCAACCCTACTTTGGCAAAACAGCCGAAATTGCAAAAGACGCACAGAGCCCTTGGCTTGAAGCTTGAACACTTTGGAAGTGAATTGCAAGTTATTTCCCATCTCTCCTGAGCACTAAACATGGACCCAAAAAGCACCCGTCGCGTAAAGCCTTCTGCTTTCGCGACTGAGCCTCTGAAGGAATTTGGAGGTGGAGGACTGCAAGGGTGCCCTGGGCAAAGAGCACAAGGGATTTGGAAGAGATATTCCCAAAGTTGCATGTGCTTGGTGGCTCTTTGGCTTCACCAAAATGATTAAGCTGCTAGCTTTGGGGATGACAACCATTTTCCCACGAACTAGCAAGACACGGGCAACTAGGAACAATCTACTTTGATCAGTGTACTAGTTGACCAGGGCGATTCACATTGCCTCGAGCTTTGGCCATGGAGTTGAAATATGTTTTGGCCATGAAATCCGCGTTTTATGTTCAAACTGCATTTGCCTGTCCGCTGGGACATGTCCCCAGGCACGTGGAGCTGTTGTGCGTGGCCGCAGGGCGCTTGGCCGCCGCAGGTCGTCCAGCCGTGATTTGTTGTGCTTCGGAGTCCTGTGAAGCGTCACTATCCAGAGGAATTGTCTTACTTGCGCAAAGCCGACCTGTTGACCTTTTGGGTATCCTAGGACAGGTGCATGTTTAGTCAAGGTTAACGCAGGTTAAGCGGTTAATTTTCAATGTCCTTGAAGGTGTGTGGTTTTCCTCCCAACCAAGTTGTTTATCCTAGAACAAATGACAACTGTCTTGCGAAGGTGGCATTTCCTTAACATATGTTTTTTTTGTTGAATTGGTGCTTGTTCACTATTCCCTGAAATATGAAACAAGGGACTGCATCAAGAAGTTGTGGTTGTCTTTAGCTTTCTTGTAAAACACCATCCCAAAGCGGGTGCCGAAGCGAAAAGTTTGGAGGGATAGTATTCTACTGTAGTGCCACAAGTGCCAGTCGGTGATTTCCGTAAGGGAGGAGTTTCAGGCCCCCTACACTTGGGAAGGAGGAACACCGAAAACCCACCTTAGTCTCCCTCTGTGCAGCGAGCTCATGGAATGGGCAGGGCGGTCCTTTCATAAAGATTTCGACATGCTTGAAACGCCACAGGGGCATTGGAAGTGAATACCTCAAACGCCTTCATCCCTGAGGAAGGTTGTTCTTGTTTGGAATTGTTTCAGGCTGATGCGCAGATTGCTAAATCGTAGACCAGTTACGATGAAATTCGTACGAAGAATACTCTTTGGTACTTGTCCAGCTTTTCTCGACAAACGGCACAAGGCTATTCTTTGTCAGTCTCTACGACGCTGTCTGCACAGACCAACGTAGGCTGCAGCTCAGTAGGAAGCTATTGCGCACCGAGCTGCTTTGCCTTGGTATCCTCTCACAAACAAGAAGTATGCGTCCCAAGGGTATTTGGGCCACGTGTTCAAATCTTCGTGTTCAAATCTTTGGTGCCTGCGCATGGCAGGTGTGCTGAAGCCTCCAGACCTTTGGCCGGTGGTGGAAGCGGCACGCCCCGTGCTCCAGCGACTTTCCTTGCAGTCGCAGGTGGAATCTTGGCTGAACAGCAAGAGAGATATAGAGAGAGAGGAGCGGAACACACGAGGTAGAGCGACGCGGTTGCGTCTGTTGGAGTTTCTTGTTTGGTCTTTGTTTGCTGTTTGTTTGTTTATTGGCATAGCAGCATATAATAGGTTTTTCCCTGTTATTGTGCTGTATGTACGAATGTCGCGTATATGTGGTGTGTACTTTGGGCTCCGAGGCTGGACAAATTGGGCACGTATTCAAACGAGTTGAACCCCTGTTGGGACAGGTTTAGAAGGGAACCAAAAGGACACCAACTGCTGTTTGGGAAGGCTTAGTGGGGACTACGCAAGGGGTCCCACATGGTCCCACCCCCCCACCCCCCCACACCCCCACATTCTGATTGAGCCCACAATCTGAACCCGGTAGTACAAGACACCCCCATCGGCAAGAAGCCTTTGTAGTTCTGTTGTCATGTTTTTGTCGAGTCTTGATCTGTTTTGATTTTGTTTGACTCAGGAGCTTCTGCGTGCCGCCGCCCTGCTGGGCACGCTGCAGCACGACAAGGCGCTTGCGGCGGCGCTGCATCTTCCGCGCCTGGCGCACAGCGTGGCGGAGGGCTCGCAGGTGGAGCAGTTGGTGCCCTTTAAGGAGCATGTGGGGTTTACGAAGTATGGGCACATGCGTATGAGCAGAATAATACATATATATGTATATATAATACATCTATACGTATACATACAATTTGCAGTTTGTGTTTGTTTCTTTGTCGAAATCCATCCCAAAGGGTCCCTGTCTTGGGAAACAACCCATGTTTACCCTGGCTTGCATTGAAGACTACCTAAAAAGGAAGGTTCCGAAGTGGAGGGAGCAGCATACCCTGAAAAGCTGAAAAGGATTCCTATTGTTTTTAGCAGGCTGATTAACATAGGTGTTGCAAGAAGATGGTCTGAAAAGGAAGCTCCTGTGAAGGATCGACAGCAATGTGACTAGGGCAGGCTAAATCTAGCTTCTTGGAGGATGGCTGTTTGGCAGAGATCCCTGTCAGACCAGATTCAGCTAAGTCTGAGACACATGGTTGAAGCAAGTGATCGTTCGACCTGGGAGCGACTGCCTTCATCTACAGAAGACTACAGCAAAGCCGGGCGGAAGCATCTTTTGGGAAACATGCTGAATTAGGCGCAAAACAAGACAGGAACACCCCCAAAACGTTGACGTATAGGTGGTTAAGGTCGCAACGCGAGCGGCGTTGGAAGGGCAATGAGTCCAAACGGAGAACGAGGTGGGAACACGCGACCATGCAAGCATGTAGCAAATAACTGCCGTAGCTCGTGTTCTTTCAGCCCAAAGTGGGCACCAAGTCCACTTTGCCACCGTGATCCTCTAGAAAGGGAAGCTTGACGCATTGCGGCTTACTGGGTTCCCCAAAAGGCAGTCGGTCAGTTGAGAAGCTGTTTCTTCTGGCGAAAGTTGCACGAAAGTGCTGCCTGAGCCGTATCCCGAGTTCAGCGGCGTCCTTGTTTCTTGTTGCTGCTTTCCTAGTTCGTTTCATATTCACCTTGCCTAAGGCGTGTCTTGCCGTGTTCCAAGCCGGGAAAACCTCCACCTGGTCCCTCTGAAATCATCCAACAGGAAGTTCCCCGATTTGGAGACGCACTCCTGTGTTCTCAAGTTCCGGCAAGGAGCCTGCGCCTTGCCACCTCTCCTTGGAAGAGATGCTGTCGGAGCTTGAACTCGAGCAGCCAGGCAGAAAGCGGAGAGGCTTCGAGTCACGGATGAGCTAGCGACTCCTCAGCAACCACAGGCTAGAGTTCAGGAGCTACAGGAGATGACCTAAGCCTGGGATCCCTCCAGAGCACGTCCAATCCACCAACCTAAACCACCAATTCGATTGCCTGACCTAAATTAGGTATTTTTGGGTCTATCTTAAATGCAACGGAAACATTACCAACCATGTTCAGGGATTAGGGGGGGGCTCAACCTCCAGCGCCCCGGAGGGGCGGTTTCTTCAGGCGCGGCTCACATCGCTGCCAGCTGCCTGGAGTCTATGGCCATCCTCAGTGAAGAGGAGCGATCCGTTTTCTGCCGAGAGGTGGGTGGGTTAGTCATGGTTAGTCTACTTTTCCTGACAAATGGTTTGACACCTCTTTAAAAGGGCAAACGGAAAGCTTTTGCGGGGTCATTGCTTATAGATTGGAAGTAAGGAGATTTGCTGGAGCTCTGCCTGAGAGAGTATTCCTTTGCTCTTCCAGCAGCAACCAACAAGAAATGCTGCCCTGTCCGTTTTGTCCCAGGACCACATGGCAAGTACAGTACTAGCTAGCTAGCTAGGCTGTTCAAGGTGAAAGACTCCATTGTTAACATCTATATGCGCCGTATGCTGCTAGTTCTAAACGGATGGTCTTGCTTGGCATGACTTGATGTAGTGATGAACCATCGTGTCTCTCTTCATCTCTCTCCCTTCATGTACTGCATTGTGAGTGTGCTTCTCTGTGATGAATTGGAATGTGATAAACCCTTGAACTCCTTCTTGTATGGAAGTCGTTTCATGCTAGCATTGCTTTAAACTTCAGCGAACATCCGAGGGTTTCGTTTGCATTATTGTTACCCGCCATTCCTTTCCAAACCAACCAAATCTCCAGCTTTTGAGCTATTGTTTCAAAAGAAGTATGCCTGGAGCGCATGGGCAAGGTCAAGTTGGGGAAACGAGGACTCCTGCCCTTGTTCACCCGACCCACCTCTCAGGAGGTGCACTGTCCACCAGCCATCACCCCCGAGTTTCTGGCGCGCCCTGCTCGAGTGACCAGGGTCGGGCTTCGGTGAGTGCTTTGGATGTACTTCCCTGACCCGCAGGATTTCGGGTAGTTCAAACATCACGATTTGGGCCATGTTAGGATGTTGTTCCTGTGGTGTGTGAAGCCGATAGAAGGACCCCCTGCGAGGCCGAAAGCTGTTTCCTCTACGAATGGAATTCTAACCTATTGGAAGATGGCGTTTCGTGGTTCCGTCTTAATTCTTGAGGCAGCTTCCAATGGATTCATGTTTTGGTGCACGGTTGCCGGGTCTTCAATTTGCTGGGAAGATCCTGTTAGTGGGAGAGAGCAAGTTTCTGGAGCTTTTGGGGCTCTTCCTCTCAAGAATTGTTGGTGTTGCTCTTCCTGCTTTGCTTCTTGCAAGCTCAATTGGAGGGGAACAAAGGCTCTCATGATGAAGGTTGTCGTTCTATGGGCAGTGGGATGTTGAGGATGCGGTGGAAGATGCGGATGTGATCACCTTATCTCTCTCTCTCTCTCTCTCTGTTTCAATTGCTGGTACGTGGTTGGCCATTTATTGCCTGAAACAAATAGAACACGGACCCTCCAAGATGGTCGTCCCCAAGAGATCCCTTATCTTAGAGAGCGTCCTCTCCTTTTGAGGGCGCCCTCCTGTAATTTTGGCACCCTGGTGTCATCTCACTCGGCAGTCACAGAAGCTGAAAGGATGCTGCAGACTTGCACCAGCCTTCTAGTAGCCATCCGAGCGTCGCAGGGGTTTGCCCGCATTACAAGCAAGGACGCCAATGGTGCTCATAAACCAATCCGCAAAGGAAGACCAGCCTATTTTTGGCCGGAGCATGCTCATTTGGTGGAAGAAAGTCCAGAGCCTTTGAGCAGGTCCTCAACGAGCTTGCTTCATCTCTGCCCTGGTACCTTGCTGTCTCTGAACTGGGGGAATGCCTGGGGCCAATTTGCTGAACGTGCGCCGGAGGATTGTTCCAACCAAGCCTGCCAAAAGTTGTTTGCCGATGTTTTGCGCCAGGCAAATGATCAAGTTCAGCATGTGGGTTGAAAGGATAATGCTTGCACATGAGCAAAGACGCTCATTCCAAAGCAAGCTAATGACCGACAAAGTGTTCGGCAACAGTCCGTAAGCAGCTTGTTGATTTCGCTGGACAACACACCATGATCCAACGGTTCCAGCCCAGTGGGTAATTTATAGGTCAACTGCGAGGCTGGTCTTTTGTGGCAATGTATGTTTGGTGTGTTGCCCTTTGAAGGCCCTATGATTGCTTTAACAAACTTGTGACCAGCAATGGTTGATATCAGCCGTGTAGCAAGTTACATCAGGTCCGTGACGAAGCTTCGCATCATTCAGACCATGCCCGAAAGCTGAAGGGTTGTCGCCATTTGATCATGGAGGTCAACTACCTGCTGAATCCTCAGCAGCTGCATTCAAACATCCCAGTTTCATGAACGGACCTTAGAGCTTGTTGGGGTTAGCAAACCCCCTCCCAGAGGAATCCTGAACTTTACAGGTGAAGACTGAACCCACCATATTATAGTATTATAAGGATATATGCACATTCGGCATACATAGAATATGCATATATTTATATACTATTGCATAGTTCCATGTGTATGCTGAAGCTCATTGATCATGGCTGTGAGGTTGGGCCAGGAGTCGGTGAGGGGGTGCTGGGCATTGGCGTCGCTGGGCCATCCGGTGGCTCAGCTTTGGATTTGGGGGAACTGGCCCAGGGATAGTTTCCGATACGAGCAGCAGTTGAACTATATGGAAACCTTGGGGATCATTTAGTAGGCAATCCCATGATTACATCCGCCCAGTTTGTGGTGCTTCTTCCAGTTGTCTCGAGCTCACCGAACACAGGCAAAGCTAGTGCGGGCTCGGTCAACATCGTCCTCAAAGAAGGCTGCCTGGAGGTTTGCCAAGAAGATCTATGGAAGGCTGCAATGCTACGATTTATTTTGCATGCCGCAGCGGGGAATCCGCTTTGTTGGGTAGCTGGACGCACTTACGCACGCACGCACGCACGCGCGCGCACACACACAGACACACACAGACACACACACAGACACACACAGACACACACAGACACACACAGACACAGACACAAACACACACAGACACACACAGACACACACAGACACACACAGACACAGACACAAACACACACAAACACACAAACACACGAACACACAAACACACACACACACACACACACCCACCCAGCCACGCACGCACGCACGCACGCACGCACGCACGCACGCACGTGCGCACGCACGCACGCACGCACGCACGCACGCACGCACGCACGCATGCACGCACGCACGCACGCACGCACACAAGCACACACGCACACACGCGCGCCGTTGAAAGCGAAGGGCCAAGGTGCGTTCCCTCTCTTAAGACACACTCGATTTTAGCATCCGCTGAGGTGTGCCTGCCGGAGGCACGGGAAGGGGAAAGGACCGGGAAGACCGTTCTCGGGGTGGGGTATGTGTGGCAACTCATTGCAGGGTGGAGGGTGAACATGAGCTCACCCACGGCAAGAATCCCTTTCATTGGGCAAGTTCTCTTGGTTCCATCTTGTTTTTTGTGTGTTGATGATTGTTGCGGACAAAGAGATGCAATTTCGCAGATGAACACACCCACCAATTGTGATCACATACACAGCTTTGAGGAATTCGGGAATTCATTTGTCCCTTTGCCAACTGGGACTTTGAAGTCAACATTAGTCATTTTACGCGACAACGTGTATAGATTGCCAATCCCTGGCCTCACGGGTCCTGCTTGATGTGGATCCTCACTGATGCGGTAGATGCGAGCCGCAGGCGCACCTCGGCTCATTTCCAGCTGTCGGCTCGCATCTTGCATCCCCCGACAAATGAGTGCTTCCGAAGAGTCGTTGCAAACATCGCAAGTGCCAGGCTCCGCAGAAAGTCATTGTGCATTATATGTATATTTATAATGTACATATACATATACATATGCATAGTACATATACGTACATGCCTAAATACTTATACCCATCTGCCGGATCAAAGCGGCTGCATTGGCCCAGCCCAGGCCATCTTTCCGAAGGGCTCGCAGGCTTGGGAGATCGAGGAGACCTTAAGGCTCGGGGGGGGGCTTGAGTCGAGTGGAGTGAAGTTGGCTAACACGTGGATGGTCCACCAAATGCTTCGATCGTTGTTCGTGAGTGCGGATGATCCTGCAGTTTTGGCTTGTTCTTTTTCAAATCCACGTCAACCGGTCGGTTTATTTATGCAATGGCTGCTGCGCCTAAGATCCTTTGGGGACGTTAAAGCGGGCTTCATGATAGTACTTGGCCAGCAGCTAGCTTGCCAGGGGGATCATACAAGAAGTTGCCCCTAATCAAAGAGCATGCCAGAACCCTCAGGGTTGGGTTCTTGGCTTCACCATTCTGCAGGGCCTTGTTTCTGTGAAATTGCTTCCAAGCACATGCCTTGTTCCAAGCGGTGAGAATGTGATCATCCTATATTTGCCATTAGAAAGTCCAAGATGACCTTAGCACTGCTTTCAAAGGGTGGCGTTGAGTAGCTCGTTCTTTTGTAAACGAGTTTCAACTGAGCAACCAAACAACCCTGAGATTGTGCAGGTTCTTTGCAACAGGTCTAGTTGCCACCAAGTAAAGGGGTCAACAAACAGGAAGGGGGTCAGGCAGATCCAAAAATTGAAGTCCTTTGCCCCTGCCAGTCTGGTGTTGCCTGGTTTTCTCCTTGTTGTGAAGCGGCACACGAATTGGCAAAGTCTCAAGAGCAGGTCAGCATCACCTTGTTGAAGTTTGGGCGTCAGAGGGCCAGACGGCTTCACCGGACTCCTCCTTTCAATATCCTTATTT